AAGATAATAGCTAACGTTTAATTCAAACTGATGCTTTACAGCGACATGCATGGTGAGTGAGACATGAAGGGGCCCACTCAGAACCCTTGGTGCTGTAGAAGGAAGTACCAGGGGAGACCCGGCTGTGCCGTCCATGGGGTGACAGGGTCAGGACCCTGTGCTCCGTGGCCACGTGATGGGAAACCTGTCCTACCGCCGTATCAACAGACATCGTACACGGTCGTAAGCCGACGGCTTCTCGTACCGTTCTGAAGACCACATTGCCCTCGGCTCCTGCAGGGAAACAAACCCTGCGGAGTTCCTGCCGCACAGAACGCACTTCAGCACAGAATGGCTTTCCCTGGAGACAGCACCCACGGAAGATAATTCAGGGGCGGCAGAGAGGCGGGCAGTGGAGAGGCGGGCGGCGGGCGGGGCCCCAGGAAGAGAACTCTGTTTGCTGCGCATCAGCGAGGACGTTTCGGGAGGGGCAGAGGCCCTGCCGGCTCTGGGAGTGCCCCTGGAAAACCCAGTCCCCAGCCCCAACGCACGCTTCGTGGTTTGCACTAGAAAGCTATGCTCTGGTGCATACACTTTCAGGTAAGCGTCAGAATAAATATGGAATTACTGTAAAATCATGAAGTAAACATTCAGAACCAAACTTGACAGGCTGTCAAAGACAGAATGGGAGGGAGTCTCTGGGGACCCCCTGCCCAAACTGCAGGACTGACCCCCTTTATGTCTCAGGAGGAGGAAAGGGCCATGTGTCACCATGACGGTTCTGAGAAAGCAAAGTGACGCAAGGCGACGCTTAATGAGTCTGCTCGGTGGCCGCAGCCCCAGGGAGGGAGAGCCAGGCCAGCAGCCCTGGCCTCCGCCCCTCGGACGACCCCTGGTCTCCCTCCCTCACTGGCCTGTGCGGTGGCCCCCCCGGGCAGAGTGGCTCCAAGGGGACCCCGACTCGTCTGGGACAGGAGGACGGCCCAGTTAGGACGTGGGCCCCACCCCCACCGTGGCCTCTCACCCCGAGGAAACCCAGGTACGATGAAGGGCGTCTCCGTCAATTTGCATTGCTCTCCACGAGGTTTAACTTTGTAGATTGCTCGTTTTATGTTGCAAGGATGTCCTCCACGCTGTGACCCTCTGTGGGCTGATTGCCACACACTGCTGCTCATCTTCCGCTTTCAGACTCGATGGGTATGTTGCTGGTCACCCGCACTTTGAAAAAGACAGAGGACCTCCAACTGGGCGACATAAATAACTTAATTACAAGGATTAAACTAGAAGCATTTGACTTGACCGAAGTAAAAGGCGGGCTGGCATATCACCCAGCGCGGTCAAAACCGAACGTCCTGTGGGAAGAGTGATGACAGAATTGTGTTCTGTCCTCCTGCAGGGGACAGAACAAGCAGTAATTATTGTATTAGCCGCAGGCGCAGGTTGCTTTTGGGAAGGGTTTCCCGTGGGTGGATGAGAGTCTGGGTCGACAAGCATCGTCAGAGAGGGTCAGGGGTCATCTTATTTCTGGTCCTGGTTTCTCTGGCACGCGCCGAGGTGTTCGTAATGATGTGTTTAAGGGGAAGAGGGCGTGAGATCCAGCCAGAGTCGCGGCTGTCGTTCCTCCGCACTGCACGGATTTGACGGGAGGACACTCGCAGGCTCTCCGGTCTCTGCGATGCCCTCCGCTCAGGTTTTGTTTGGTCTTTGCTACATAAACGTTGCAGATGACACCGTGAGGAAGAGGGTCCTTCCCGCCAAATTCCAACAGGAGGTGGTTAGACAGAGGGTGTGGAAAATACTAGGGCGATCGGGAAACATGGCCCAGACTCTGCAGTGATGAACTAACACCACCCAACTGCAGGTGCCAAGCACAGACCCGCAGGGTCAAGCTCGTCACCTTGGTCACAGGGAGGGGTGGCCACGCCCTCCTAATCTCCACCACCAGCCGCTGTCTGGCCTGCTGTCCCGCAGGGTGCCTGTCTCTCTCTGAGGGGTCATCGGTGTTGGACACACTTAGTCCCCAAACCCCGTGAGGTTGGAAACCTCGGGGCCCCTGTCACTGTTTAGAGGGTGTGAACTTGGGTGTGAACTTCCCTGTGGTGATCGGATTAGAAGGGCGCTCGCTCGCCCTTGGGCTCCCTGGGAAGGCAGGCAGGGAGGGAGCTGCGCTCGCCCGGTGGTTCCGGACCCCCAGCTGTCACTGGTGACTCAGGCCGGGAGGTGGGTCGGCGAGCAGGGGACAGTGGCAGGACTTGGTTTTCGGGCAGGAGGAGTCCGAGGTCCCTGGGCATTTGGTGTCGGGTTGTCACACTCGTGATGACATCTCTGCGGCACATGCAGCCGGCACAGCTGGAGTCAGGGTTCGCTCCCTGGACGTGGCGTGGTTGATTCTGATGTAACGACCGTGAGGATGGTGCTGGAGGCCAGAACGGGAGAACAGCAGGCTGGGGGCTCCGTGTCCCCCGTCCCTGGGGAACGGAACCGGACAGGGGGAGGTGCAGGAAGTGCCGTGTGCAGGGGCGAGGACATCCATGGGGACTTCCCGACACGGCGCCTGGCCACGGCGGCCCTGTCTCCTCCTCCCAGGGGCAAGTGGACCGAGCAGGGCAGGCACCTGTCTCCGTGGGGGACTGAGCCTGGGGGGGGTGGTCAGTGCAGTCTGCATTGTCCATACAGTGGCTCTCTTGGAACTTTCTAGAGGTAGCTGTGTGCTTCCGTGTGATGTGGGCCCATTCGGGAGACACACGAGTGATCTGTGATGCAGTACAATGACACAGTCATCAAAAGAAACGCTAAGAAATCGCTCCTGCCTGTCCCCCATTCCCTCCCCCTCCCCCCCGACTGTGGAAGTGTTTAACTGACACTTCAAACTCAGGAGGCCTGGAGGCATGAGGTGGTTCCAGCAGGAAGTAGGGAGGAACGAGTCGTTCGATACAGGACAAAGACGGCTTTGCTTCTCATGGAATCTGCCCTGTTGTTCGGGCTCCTGGCTGCAGGTGGCTGGAGATGGTTGTTGCTAATTTATCACCCAGCAGAACTCCCGTGACTTGGGTAACACTGCCAGGTGCTCCCCAGCTCTTCCGGGTGGGGTTGTGTACAATAATAACAACGACGGCGGTAGTTATGTAAACGTGTCCCTAAACGTTTCCGCACTGGCCCCTCAGACCTCCTGGGACCCCTCCTTGCAGGTCCGTTTGGGGGAGTGTGAAACCGCGTTCCTTCCAGGTTTGGTAAATACTCTTGTCGGATGGACCCGTTCTGGAATTTCACTCACCACATGTTCTGATCGACTGCTATTTTTACATCCCCCCAATGTCTTCAAAAATCAGAAGGTTTTTAAAATGGGAGAGACATGCCTTTGTTTTTGTGGTTTGGAAAGCCAGCCCACTGGGTTTTTTCAGTGTGTAGGGGAGTACCGAATTTTGCATGTTCTAATAACACTTGAAAAGCAGGCGAAGCTTCACAGTTGGTGGGACCCCAAGGCGCCTCTCACCAAACAGGAGTGGGGATGGGCCTCGGCGCCGCACGCAGGCCCGACCAGGTGTCTGGGTGCGGCCAGTGGAAACCACGGCCTCCTGGCCAGCGGTGATGCTCCAGGGGGACTCGGGTCTCTGTCCCCATCGCCCTGGGCGACCCTGCTCCCACCCGCCCCTTCCAAGAGTGAGCAAGTCAGTGTGACGGCCGCGTGGCTGTGCGCCCTTCTCCCTCTTGTGCGGAGAGCGGCTGGGCTGGGTAACCCGCCAGTGCTTGCCCACCAGCTGGCTGCCATTCGTCCCGGGGGTTCGGCAGCTGGTGTCTTACAGGCACCGGGGGCCGCAGAGCAGAGGAGTCAGACGTTCATGGGAGCCAAGACCCCGTGTCCCATGGCCCTTGGGGGCAGTTTAAGCACCCCCCCGGGGTTTCACCAGGGTCCACGTTCCCCGGGTCCCTTCCTTCCCCGTGTCTCAAACTGACATTCCCGCATGGACCCGAGGGGTGAGGTGGCACACACCCCCCAGAAACACGCTTTACCATAGAAACTGTCCCCAACCACTAAGAGCAGACAGTCTCAGGGGGAACCTGTGTCCTGGATGACACCCCGCGGCTCAGCCCTGACCACGGAGACGGCCCCTGGGGGGAGGCGGCCTGTGGGTTTGGGGTGGAAGTTTCCTTCACAGCAGGCAGGTGTGACGGGCAGACTTGGCCAAAGTCACGTGTTCATGTTCAATGACTTTATTTTGTTTTGAGTCAAGTGAGGTGGAAACAGGCCCAGGCAGTGCCCTGTCTCCAGCCCTCCTTTCCACAACGGCCACGCTCTGCACCCCGGAGCACCCACAGAAGTAATGGGCTTAAAATATGCCCTCCCCACCCCAGAGTTCGCGGCGCCCAGGGAGCCAGGCCTGCATGTCCGTCCCTCTGTCCCTCGGGTTTAAGAGCAGAGCCTGACGGAGGCATTGTCGTGACTCAGCCCTGGAGTTTCTGCCGTGCGTGGAGTCGCTCACCGACCCCTGTGCCGCAGGCCGGTGGCCACTGGTGACCCTCCAGGCCCTGTCCACTGTGGGCAGGGCTCCCCGTCACTGCCCCTCGGAGGCAGGGACCTTGCGGTCCCAGATGGTGGGGTGCAAGGGCCCGCAGGTGGCTCTCGATGTCGGCCCAGGGCGAGCAGACCCCAACAGCTCCCTGTCGGCCCGGGGTGGGGGTGCCCCCCACCTGGAAGGCCCCCATGGGCCGCAGAGGGGGCGGAGGCAGGAGGCCTGCGGGCTCTCGGGGGGCCCAGCACCGTGGCCGGAGAGGTGGGTCAGCGATGACAACCTGGGGATTTTCGGACACGCCTGCTGCTCAGACCCAGACAGAGGGACCGAAGCTCCAGGAGTGACTAACAAGCAGCCCCCCTCCGCCCCGCGTATTCCCCCTTCTTAAATCGCAGCTGTCGTTTCTGTCCACACGTCAAGGGACACGTGACCACGCAAGTCTCTCTCCTTGGTAGCCGACACTGGAACCCGCCCGGCGCGGCCTCTGCTCACTCCCCCTCTCCCTCGCAGGCTTTGACCTCGTGAAGTGTGAGGACCCCGGGGTCCCCAGCTACGGCTACCGGCTCCGGGACGAAGGCCACTTTGCGGACACCTCCGTCCTGTTCAGCTGTAACCCAGGCTACACCATGCACGGCAGCGGCACCCTGACCTGTCTCAGTGGGGGCTGGCGGGTGTGGGACCAGCCCTTGCCGTCCTGCGTGGGTGAGTGGGGACCCCAGCTTCCCCGGCCCCCCACTGGGGCTTCCTGTGTATCCCCGACATTGGTGTGGGTGTTTTCAGGTAGAAAAGATGGTTTCACTAGCACTGTTTTATTGGGACAATGTGCAGAGAATGATCGGAATTCTAACACCGGTGTTTTGTGCTCTCAACTCTCATTACTTTGGGGGAGGTGCCTGTCCCTCTGGGTGACACTTGGGAGCAAGTGAAGTGACAGAGACAGAGAGGGGCCGACACAATGTGTCACACGAATGGGATGGGTTCAGTTTTTTGTGGCTCCATCAGAACCCGAGACACCTGGCGTGACCGTCCCCATGTCCCTCTGTGTCCCCTGCAGCGGAGTGTGGCGGGCAGATCCACGCAGCCACCTCGGGGCGCCTGCTGTCCCCTGGCTACCCGGCGCCCTATGACAACAACCTGCACTGCACCTGGGTCATAGAGGCAGACCCGGGGAAGACCATCAGGTAGGTGTCTCCGGTCGGGCCAGAGGTGTGAGGAGGCGTGTCTGCCACTCGGGCAGAGAAAACAGGCGTCTGTCCGTCACTCTCCGGGACCAGGGAGAAGGCGACAGGACAGCGACATAGGCTGTCGGCTCACAGGCTTGCGCTGTGTGAGAACCATGTAGAATGAAGAAGAAAGGAAGGTGTATCAGTTAGCTTTCGCTGCATAACAAACTGGCCGCCAAAGCTTAGTTGCTTCAAGTAGTTCTGTGTGCCCACAGCTTGGTGAGCTGTCTGGGCAGGTGTGGTGTGGGTGGGGTTGGCCAGGGGGGCCAGCTGGCCTCACTCAGGGGCTTGGCCTCAGCCGGGTGGTGGGGAAGGTGGGGCCTCCCCACCCCAGGTCTCTGTTCCGTCAACGCTCCATCTGAGTAAATGGAAGCCATGACGGGGGTTCTGGTTTGGGGATGAACCTGAGGACCATCCGACTGGTGACTTTATGGGAACTGGGCGCCCTTCCTTCCCGGGCACTTCTGGCCTCGGTTTCCCACTAGTTCCCTGGGGCTGCTTTTCCAGGAGTTAGAAGGAGCGAGATGTTCTGAATGGGGACCCGCGAGGAGTCCCCCTGGCAGGTGCTCTAAGGCTTCATTAACATCCTAATAAGGAAACAAGAAATCAATAAACAGTGAGTGGGCGTGATAAAAATGCACTGACCTTGATAGTTCACCACTAACATTCCAGGACCAAAGTGACCTTGCTCCACCCATTTCCTGTCCTGGGATTTTTTTTCTCTCTTCTGTTACATGTGTCCCCGACAGGAGAGTTTACCAAACTGGTCATCAGAACTTTTTAACTTAAGGCATCAGGTCCTCCCTGGGGAGGACGGTGAGGAGGCGGCGGCGGTTTTTGTAACTCGCTTGCGTGACTGATACGCAGCTGCACCCCAAACGTCCTGGCGGTACCTCCTCCTCGGTGAACTAGAGACTGTTTTAGAGTACGTTGGTTCGGAGAGTTACATACGGAAAGGTGCGTGATACACTGTAGGCTTAAAGCGGCACAAATGCGGGGAAGAGACGGGCCAAGTCTTAGCTTTGGTGTTTGTCGCCAAGGTGACTGAGTCCACACACCACTTTCGCTCTTTGCTTGAAAATGAGGACTGTGTGCTTTATGTTAGCGTGAGTCCAGGGACTGAAGTAGTTAACGTTCTTAATATAAACAGAGCTCATTATTATACATTCATACTGTGATTTTTTTTTTTTTTACTGTAAGTGGTTTTTTTCCTCAAAGACACGAATAAGCACCGAAGCCCCGCGAAGGTGACAGGCTAGTCCCCGCGCGTCCGTCCGTCTGTCTCTCCCGACTTCAGTTCCACCGGGGCCCAGAGCAGTTTCCGACTGTGTCTTCCTGTGACTTTTTACTGGGGGTAATGGAAGACCCCAAAATGCTTGCCACTGGGCTCTGGGGTCTGGAAGGAGTCTGCGGTTTTCACGCTGAGCGAGGCTGTAGCTCGGTGACTGAGCGGAATGTAATTAAAACCGGACGCAGTCGATCCAGCCGCGTCGTGAATCACACACGCACGCCTCCCTGAGACCTGGCCCCTGCTGGGCGAAGCCGTGGCCGGTGGAACGGCGTGAGGGCGTTGACTCTCATAACTGTGTGGCCCCGGTTCTGATGGGGTCTGGGGAACGGACGGTGAATGTCCTTCTGCTTGTGGCTGCAGGAGGCAGGCCCAGGGGAAGTCCTTCAGGAGGGTGCACGTGGCCCCGAAACATCACAGGCCTGTCCCAGACGACTGACCACACTGGTCGCAGCGGTCCCTCTGCCCACTTAGAAAGCGAAGAGAGGGTGGACCCTGGCACCCCCAGCGAGGCCTGAGTTTGTTTCCGGCCACGTGAGGCTGTAAAGAGACGGCGTGATCTGGCTCGGAGAGCTGGGCGCACCTTCATGTACGCTGATCGCACTTCCAGGTCCCTGTGAGAGGGCGCCAGCTCGCGGCGCTCCTTGTCAGCTGTTGTCCTGGTCTCCATGTGGAGCCTCCGGCCGGGCCAGGGCCGGGCCAGGCACCACAGTCTCCCAGCCTCTCCTGTCTCACTGCAGCTGGGAGGGGGCGTCTCCTGCAGAGATGACAGAGTCCCCAGGGAGTGACGTCTCACCATCAAAAGACAGCGAGCGGTGGCAGCAGGCAGTGCACCCAGGGCCACGGCTGGACTCCAGTCCCTCTGTGGCTGCGGGCCCACTGCTGGGCTCGGGGTCCCTAACCAGAGACGCAGCACCATGAGCCAGAGAGGTTGACATGGTCTCACTGACACCAGTCCCTCAATTGCCTGCATGACGCTGTGGTCACCGTTGTAGATGAGCTGGGAGAGACGGCGGGAGGGACCAGCTGGTCCTAGGCCTTCGGTCCCCAAGTCCCTGCCCCGTCACAGACGCACATCCCAGGCCCTGACTGGGCTCGCGTCTTCTCCCGAAGCCCTGTCACAGGTTATTTCGGTTCATACCCAGACAGCAGTGTCCCCTCCCCCCACCAGGGAGAAACCCAGCTGACACTTGGTAAACTTGGGCAGTGACCAGGGGAATTGGCGTAAGGGTGGGGGAAGGGAAAGTGCTGGCCTTGGAAGTGAAACTGGAATTGCAGTGAAGTGGAATCGCAGTAGAACGGGTGACGGGACGTGGGCGTCACCTCCATTCCATTCAGGGGATGCTGCAGGCCACCCAGACGCCCCGGCCCCACGGCTCCCTGCTCAGGACCCCGCGTCTCCCAGCCCTGGTTCTGCCGCCCTCCCCGGGTCTGCCGGTGCCGGCACCCCTCTGGGGGATTCTCACTTTCGGTATTCACTTCACTTCTCCTTCCCGGTCCCCAGCCTCCCATCTTTTCCAACTTAAACGAAGTCCAGACCCCATGGGGTGCTCCTCTGTTCTCGGGGCTGATGGCGTCCCCTCCCTCCAGGGGAGGCGGCAAGAGAGACCGGCCGTGTGTGACAGCCGGGCTCCCCACTTATCTCTGCTTTCCCCTTATCTGCCCTTTCCAGCTGGGGCTGCACCTCACTGCCCCCCACTGTAATCCTCTCCCACTGACCTTTCCAGATCCGCCCTCCACCTTCTCCGCTCACAGAGTCCCCGCTAATCTGCCTGCCCGGCTCCCTCCGGGGGCCTCACACCCTCTGGATCCGGCGCGCCGGGCCCTTGCGAGTTTATCTGCGGCGCCCACCTGCACCGCTCTGTGTCAGCACTGAGAGGCACCCGTCCCTCTCTACCCGCCTCCCCAGTTTTTCCCTGCTGCCCCCCCAAGCCCCCCACCTTCTGGGACTCAGTCAGTGAAAATGTCAACCCCTCAACAGAAATGCCCTTCCCGTTATTCCATCTGTGAAGCAGGTGTCATTTTCTCTGGACACCATCCCGTGGCTCACAGCGCTCTGCCTCCGGAGCCGGGGCTCAGTGGTGTCAACGCCACACGCCCAGAGACCCAGGGTGCCCCTCTGACCTCCCCGCCGCCGTCCCTCCCACGCTCCCGTGGTCCTGCTTCTCAGGGCCTCTTCCCCCGAAGCCTTGGACCCACTGTGCGCCCGCCCCGGCGGCTGCTCCCTGCGTTCACCCCCACACCACTTCGCCAGCCTAATGACCGAGCGTCCTGCACGGGCGTTGTGGTCCTCCGTTCCCACCCCGAGGGGCAGCCTTAAGCTTCTTCATGAAAAATGGTCACTTTAGCCCCTGGCTGGTGGCTGGGTTGGCTGGAGTGTCATCCGTGCACCAAGGGGCCGTGGCTTCAACCCCCGGTCAGGGGACACACCCAGGCTTCAGGTCCGACCCCTGGTGGGGGCACAAACCGGAGGCGGCTGCACGGTCAGTGTTTCTCTGTCCCATTGATGTTTCTCGCTCTGAGTTTTGTTGGTGTCCTGAGACTTTGTCCACAGCGGCCAAACTCAGGGCAGCAGGTGCGTGTGGGCGGGTTTCTCGCTGACGAGTGGCAGGTATGTGCACAGCCGTCCTCAGAATGACAGCCCTCGTGACCAGGACCAGGTGCGCCCTCAGCGCTCCGTCCACAGCCGGCCTCCTTGACGGTGACCACCGCCCTGGCTTCGGGGCGGCGGGCCTGCTCCGAACTTCTCCTGAGTGGGGCCGTGCAGTGAGCTCGGTTCTGTGTCTCCATTCCCTGGGCCTTCACTTCCAGTGACACAGTGGGCTGTTTCCCCGGGTGAATGCACCCATCCACCCTGGGTGTGGACAGACAGACAGACACTTTAATCCACTCTGGGGACCCTGCAAACGGCGCTGGCGGCTCTGGGTTTGAGGGTCAGACGTGAAGGTGTGTGTTCCTTGAGGGCACGCACCCAGCATGACGAGAGCTGCGGGTCCTGGCAGACCCTTCCTTCGGCCGCGGCGGGAGCTGTCACAGCGTCCGAGGTGGTGGCACCGGGCACACGCCCATCATAGTGTCAGCGATTTTTGGGTCCCACCTCCCAGTGGCACGTGGCCTGGGCTGTCGTCTCTGTGTCAGCCGTGGCAGTAGGTGGGCAGGGTCTGCACATTTCCCCGTGACTGACCCCGGCCGGCGCTCTCTACAGGTTCATTGGCCCTGGGAGCGTCCTGTCCCATGAACTGGGAGCCAGCCACTTGGACTTCTGTCGCCTGCACTGGGCTGTCTGCCTTTCACTTTTGATTCGTGCGAAATTTCTGCACATCTGTGTGCAATCTTTTGTGGTTTCTATAGAACAGCTAAAGCACTCATGTGTAACATATAACGTATAATACAAGAATATATAACATCCTCTTATACTCTGCGGTCAGCCATTTCCGTCTCAGAACCATGTCTGTCTGTGCACACGCAGACTCTTAACTTCAGCGAGTCAAGTGTATTTGGATACATTTCCTTTTACAGTTTGTGGGTCTCTTATTGGTACATTAGGTAGCGTCAACTGTTTTGTTGGGAATGTTCTGAGTGTTTTCGTGTCCAGATTAAGAAAAAAAAATCCTGTCTCCCCAAAGCCATAACAATATTATCTTAGGTTTTGGTTTTTTTTAATAGAAGATTTGTTTACTTTACCTTCTTCATCGTGTTTCCAGTCCGTCTGGAGTTGACTCCAGTGTGTGGTACGAGGAAGAGTGAGGGAACTTTATTTTGTCCGGGGAAAGTTTCATTGTCCGTTTGTCAGAAAGTCACCTTCCTTTGCCCTCCTCTCTGACCTTCCCACAGAGAATTCCACGTGCTTCGGCCCGTTTCTGAACTTGGTTTCGTGGATTGCTTGGTCCACCCAGCACAGTGTCCTTCTAGCTCATTACCTCCGTACTTTACAGTGAGTCTCCGAACCTCGTAGCACAGCTCCCTGTTGGTCTCTCATTGGATGCCCAGGACTGTGCTCAGCCCCTGTTTCCATGCGAGTTTTACAGACACAGGTTACTCTCTGTAACAGGAACGGCTGGGATCTCTGCTGGAATCACCAACAGGTGAATGTCAGGAAAACCGACATCGTGTGCCAGTCTGCAAACAGGCACAGATCCCTGCCTGGCAGGTGCACCGTCCCACGGGCTGCGATCTTCTGTAGTTTGTCTCGACACTGCGTGCGGTTTTCTGGGTGGACACCGCAGAATTATTCTCGCTACCGTGTGCTTCCTGATAACAAAGCAAATAGTCCTTTTGGTTTCATTTCCTGTTTGTGACTGTCCCCAACATGACATCTCTCAGGGCAGAGGAATTTCACAGAATGCTGAGTATAAAACGCAACTGGGAAATGGGACCAGCACACACCAAAATGACACCCATTATGCGTAATCATTGTTAAACACACAAAAGAGGCCCCGTTTGGGGAGAACAGGAGCACACGCCTGTGGGAACACTGTGAAAATACAAATGGAAGTGTCTCTGTTTCAGAGGGTGGGTGACAGGGAGGGTCGGAGTGTGTCTGCAGGATTTGTTCTGTGAAAGGACCCGCAGCAAACGGGGTGGGATGTCAACGTGGGGGGTGCATACGCGTGTGTACGTGTGTGCCACGCTTGGTTCCTTCTCGGCAGTAAGAAGATTTCACGGAACTGCCCACTTTACACTTTACGGTGAGGTAGACGTTGTTGAATGAGTGATACACACAAGACAGTTGATCAGGGTTTGTGTGCGGTCTGCACCCACTCTGACCGTTAGTCTCCCTCATGATGTCGGGGGCGGAGCAGTAAACAGAAACCGACCAGTCAACACGCTCAGGAAGCCCGGTGTGGGTGGAGCCTCAGCTCCTCTCTGCTCGAACCGCCTGAACGGGACTCGAGCTCTGCTGCCCCCTCTGCAAGGAGCTCCCTCGGTCAGAGGTGTTTACGCCGTTCTGGAAAATATCTGTGAATCTAATGAAAGTGTTTTAAAGTTCATAGAGGAAGGAGTTCACATTATACGTCTCTACCTTTGTGTTCGAAGCCTTTTAAGTTGTGTGGAGACTCTGTAGTTTACATTTCTGCCTTGGCATTGGTGTTTCAAATAACGCGTTTTTCTGAAAGTAGAATCCATAGAAGCAAATACAACTCGAGATCCAATCAGAGGCAGGCGGGTAATAAACATCCTGGCCCCGCCCCCGGGCCTCCCTCTGCCTTTTCTCTGGGCGTGCACACTGCCACCTGATGGTTGTCACAAGAACAACAGCGACGCAAAGTTGAAAACTTGCCCACTGAGCCTAAAGCAAAGCCCTGCCACACTTGACCTTGAGGTGTGTGCCAGGAAAGCTTTGAATGATGGAACCAGCTGACAGCCTCCAATGGCGTTGTTTCACCCCAGAAAGGAGCTGGGCACAGGGCTCGGTAGGTGGTCTCTGCCCCATTGCGGGCCCCCGTGGTTCTGTCGGGAGGCAGGTGACCCCTTGGCTGCACAGGTGTGCTGAGGGCACTGGGGCTTGGCCCCCACCCACGGGTCAGGTGGCAGAAAGGCACGTGTGGGCGGGGCTAAGCCAGCGCCACAAGCCCGCATGCTGGCGTGTGCCTCGATGTCCTCACGGGGGCGCCAGGTGCCCCGTCGGTGACCCCCGCCAGCTGTGCTCTCTCTGCAGCCTCCACTTCATCGTGTTCGACACGGAGACCAACCACGACATCCTGAAGGTGTGGGACGGGCCCCTGGAGAGCGGCGTGCTGCTGCAGGAGTGGAGCGGCTCCGCGCTGCCCGGGGACATCCACAGCACCTTCAGCTCGCTCACGCTGCAGTTCGACAGCGACTTCTTCATCAGCAAGTCCGGCTTCTCCGTGCAGTTCTCCAGTGAGTGGGCCCCGCCCTGCCCCACGCCCCACCAGCCTCAGGGTCCTGGGTGTCGCAGCCAGGGGACACTTTCTTAGGACCCTTCCCCGTTACTCTGCAATCTCAGTGCTTTCTTTTGTCCGCGGTGTTTGCCCATTGCCTTCGCTGTTCGGTTAGAAGTCTCTGTGGAGCCCAGAGCAGGGCTTGTCCTCTTGGTGCCTCCGGAGTTTTCATTCAGATAAATCCCTTCTATCTAAGCAAATACATAACATTGCCCCAGGGTTTCTGGAAGCAAACAGAGCAGAAAGCTCAGAACTCAGAAATCGAAGCCCACCCCTAACTGCACGTGTGCAAGTGGGAAGATGGGCAGAACGACGGTGGGGTGGGGGCGGGTGGTGATTCGCGAATTCCTTTGTCTCTCCGGAACCCTGGGGCTCCGAGCCCGGGGCGTCCCTCGGGGCGAAAGTGAAAGTCTGTCCCTCCAGCGGGGATGGGGAAGAGAGAGCTCACAGTTCCAGTTGAAGGGAAAAAGGAAAGGAAAGAAGACTCCACGTTTGGGGTCCTGAAGTTCGATGGGGGGTAGTCTCCTCCTCAGCAGCTGCAGAAACTGGAGAAAAACCACCGGGACGCTCGGGCCGGGCGTTTCAGGGAGGCGGCGGATTTAGGGTTCTGCCGCAAAGTCTGGTGACAGTGTCTTCGCTGCCGGGACCTGCACAGGGTTGGTGGCGGTCCGTGTGATGGGACTGAAGGTGCATGGTCACCACACGCTCACCATGTGTCTGCCAGAGTCCTGTCTCCCAACGCCTGCTGTGCCCAAAACTCTCCCCCAGCTTGTCTGGAGGGGTGGCGGCTCCTGGCCTGACCTGAAGTCTCTAATCCTTTTATTGGCAAAGAAGGCGTCATCGCCAGGGCTTTTGCTAGAGTTGGGGTCATCGTTTAATTTGTTGATGACTCTGTGAAGACAGCATCACCCGAGAGTCGCTGATCCCCTTGGCCGGGTGGCACCTTGGAGGGCACAAATCTCACAGGAGTTTGTTTTCTTTCATTTTACTCGTGGTTCCCGGTGGTTGGTGTGCTTGAAGTCGTTTAAGTTGTGGTGTGTGTTTTCGTTAGATGATGCTAACAAAAAATCTCAGAGGGGAGTGTATGTGTGCATGAGAGAGACAGAGAACTCTAGCCTGATGCAGTTCTTGGCATTGTCCATAACTGGCAGCATTTCCAACAAGACTTTGCTAGAATTTGTTCCAAGTAAGGTCATCAAGATGCCTGCTAGTGCCCATATCTTTGGGGAAATAACCCCTTTCTGTGAGTTCCTATGTGGACAAATGACTCAACGGTGCCAGGCAAGAGTCCCCGGCATCGGTGAGTGTGGGGGGGCCTTTCTCCGATTATGGGACCTGTCCTTGTCTCGTCCTTGCAGCCTCGGTGGCATCCACCTGCAACGACCCAGGTGTGCCTCAAAATGGCACCCGGTACGGTGACAGCAGAGAGCCCGGGGACACCATCACCTTCCAGTGCGACCCTGGGTATCAGCTCCAAGGACAGGAGAAGATCACGTGTGTGCAGCTGAACAACCGCTTCTTCTGGCAGCCGGACCCGCCCACCTGCAAAGGTACCGTGCTGAGGGGCAGGGGGGTCTCCTGGCTGGGGGTGCAGGCGGGCCCCCGGGAACCCCGTCCTGCAACTGTGCCGTCTCCGCAGAGAGATTGCTTCAGGCGTTCTCCCTCGCACCCGGGTTCTCTGAGCCTATCTCGACATTTTACCTTAACCTTTAAACTTTATTAGGTGAAATAAAGGAAGTAGTCAACTTAATATACAGTAATTGACATTTATCTAACACTCCCTCTCCTTAATAATCCTGTAAAAATAAGGACCAATCAAATTACTGTAATTTAAAATTTTTGGAGGCTAGAAATGCTTAACCCTACTATTGCGATTCTCGTTTTTAATATTCCAACTTGCCTGTAGGCAAAACCTACCCCATAAAGAGCACATTCTTCGTTTAGATGGTTTTCCTATAATAGTTCTGCATTTTCACGGAATTCTGAACACTGGGCACTACGCTGCTTAAGTCGAAATGAAGATCAAGGGAGAAAGTTGTTTCTGAAGTTCACCGGAGTTTTCGAAGTATGAACTTATTTAAAAGGGCGACGCTCGGTTTTGCAGACTGTAATTTAAACTATGATCACAGGCCTTCTGTCGCAAATACGGTTTTAAGCTAATGCATAATTTTCTATAAAATAGTAATTTTAGGTAGACTGCCCCTTTATCCAATTAACTGTTTTACCATAGATACCTGTTTGGAGTATTTCATCTTAATTTTACAAAGAAGCGCCACCAAACTGTTGTCATCATGCCCTGTGGTGGTTGAGTCTGTATGTCTTTAAGTGTCTGACGTGCGTAAGATTTAATCTGTGAAGAGCGAAGGTGACAACGGAACGACAGGTGTGTGTGTGGTTGCTGTGTGTGGTTGTGCGCTGAGTCACCTGGGCGGGTTCGTGATTTAGCGGGCTGGGGCCCTCATGGACACAGCCGTGGGGACGGGCTCTGTCTCCCCAGGGGCTGAGATGCGCGGCCCCTGGCCTGTCACAGGGAATTCAGGGGACCTCCCAGGCTGAGGGGCGGGTGGCAGGGACGCACTCCTGTCTGCGCTGCCCCGTCAGAGACGACTGTGTCTGCTCATTGAAGGCTGGCTGCCTCGTCCTCAGTGCAGCCCTGCTGAGAGCACTGTGTTCCAGGCTGAGTCGCCATCTGTGTGCTCCTTTGTCCCAGCGCAGTGACTACCTGTAAAGGCAGCCGTCCTCTTAGACCGTTGTCCTGCTTTTTAAGTAGGACAGGCCTGTTTGAGTCCCCATTTTGCAGGATTTTCAGCTCACGGAGAAGGACATCCCAAAGCAATGCCACTAACCATTAGTCTCTTTAAAGTGATTTCTCAATTGACATTCCTGGAAACACTTAAGTGTGAAATCTTTCCCACTAAGCTACTGTCTTCTGCTGGTGCCCCTCGGCGAGCTGATTTTGGCTGGAGACTAGGTAACCGGTCCTCTGCACCGAAAGCAGCTCACAGGTCTGCGGTCTCTGAGGTCCTCAATGTCAGGTCAAGGACGAGCTACCTCAACTGTCAGGACTGCTGGCCAGCAGACCCGCCTCCCCGCCTGGGTGTCACGTCACAGGAAGGTGGCGTACTGGGGAGGAAGCGAACGCCGGTTTTTCATTGCCCCGTGGACAGTCCCCCAGGAACGTGGCCCGGGGGTCTCGGGAAGGAGCCCGTCCACTGGGGCCCGGCTGACCGAGGCGCAGCCCTCCCGGGAATTCTGTTCTGCTGGCTGGGGACGCTCGGCCACTTCCTCTGGCTTCTTCCTCATTCAAAACGCATGTGTCTGATGGAGGAGCTTTGTCAGCTGTGGTTAGGAAGACGCTGCCGACCTGTGCCCGGAGGCCGCTCCTGTGAACCTGAACCCGCACGAGGGGACTTCCTGACGTTCTCACGTCGAGATCACCTGCGTTTAGTGGTTTGAAGTGGCCGCGTCCTGGTCGATGATCCTGTGAACTGCACGTCCTCCGCGCCAGCGCACAGTGAGCGTTTCCATGGCGCCCTGTGCTTGCCGTCACAGGGCGCTGTCACCACTCAGGGCCGGGTGGACCCGTCCCAACACCGTAGCCCCTTCCTGCTCTGCCAGTTGGCCCTCCAGGCTTTGCTCTGCCACAGTCACACTCTTGTGGGAAGACACCCACTATTATTTATGAGTGACACCTTCCTGCAAACTTGTGTTTCTAGGGCTTGAAAATCGTTTTGTCCAAACCCAGGAGGGTCGCACCGATTTGCTCTAGTATCAGCCACGTGGGAGCGTTTACTTCTGACCAAGAGAAGCACAGTGTGGAGGGAGTACTCGGTCTCATCACTGACCAGGAGCAGAGCCCCACGGTCCCTTGGTGTCGTCACCGGCGTTTTAAATCACCAGTGAGGTTCGGCTGTTAGGAATCTCACCTTCTTTTTGGCTGCTTGACCCGTTCTTCCCTGATTGGCCTGCTCATTTCTGTTTTCCTTGTATTGTGAGTGTGTCCCCATCCGATTCACTGGCTCTCTCTCTCTCTCTCTCTCTCTCTCCCCCCGTTTTACCAAATCTCTTAACTTTTCATCTCTCTGTGTGTCGCTCATGTTTCCACCAGCTTGTCATTCATGAATTTGCCTCCTCGTTTGCTCCGATACGCTGCTTTTTTCCCCCACTTCCCGGAGGACGCCTGCCATGGAGGCGCCTTCTTTTGGCATTTTCAGCTGAGTCGTAACAGAATGACCATTCGGACCAGGGACCGTCACTACCTTCCAGCTCACAGAAAGCGTCCCCGGGAGTCTGAGTAGCCCACAGTCCCCCGTCCCCAAGTCCACGTCTGCAAGGCTCTGAAAAGCAACACTGGGCCCCACGTTTGCCGCAGTTTACTCGGTGGCCACGCCCTGCTCCAGGCTGCTGGGCGGCCACTTGGAGGCCATTTACTCCATTTGACCAAAGTTCAGAATGTGAAGTGTCTCACGGCAGAAACGTCGGCACGTCTCGTGGAAGAGTCTTGCTCGATCTGTGATGGGTGAAGTCCTCACCATGCCCGGGGGGCCCAGGGCTTTGAATGCAGGACAGTGAATGGATGTGGATTTGTGGACTTTCTCTATGTCTGCTTCCCTGGAAAATTTCCTAGGGGGCTGAGTGGCATTTTGGACTAAATCCTCGTCCTACCCAAAATAATTCGCAGGCTCCTGATCGAAACCTAATGAGGGCAGAGTGGAGAGAACCAGACCGAAGGGGGACGAGTAAGACAGGGCTGCTCATTTCCACCAGAAGTTTTAGGTGGCTTCCCCGAGAGCGCCCCCAGGGTGCCGGCCGGCAGACCCCTTTGTTTCTTCCGCATCTGCATTTGGGCTCATCCCTGGAGTCTCCCGCCTGCGGTGCCCTGTAGCCAGGACCCAAATCTGCTGTTTTTCATCTTCCCCAGCCCGTGGAGGGAGCAGCCTCTTCTCTGACCCTTGGCTGCTTCCTTCCCCTCCAGCTCAGCTGCCCCCACCCGCCCCCGGCCCACCCAGGCCCCTCAGCTGCGCTGTCAGCTCGCACTGGGTCCTGGGAGGTCCTTCCCGCGCAGTCTGCCGCGGTGACACGGTGGCCCCGGTAAATTCGGGTGAACGTTGCATCATAACGCTCCCGAGTGTGTGTCTGAGAATTTATTGAAAATATTTTCTATTGAGAATTCGCCTTTGATGGCACTAAAATTACAACAAAAATACTGCAATTTGTTATCATTCTTCTCATGGAAAACTAAGTTTTCAGGGGTGTTAGGTGGGTATATAAAGTTACATCCATCACAGAATATTGCCGAGTGCGTTGCCGTCATCTTATTTCCAGGAAAGTCATTTTTGTGTGTGCAGGACAAGGCCTCCGTTGGGTGCACCCTTCTCTGCTAATATTTCTTCTCAACGAATACACGACCCTGACGTGACACTGGATGTAGCTTCGGGGAAATGCATCATTTACTTGGGCTGGTTTTTAAAAACAACCGGGCGATAAACAGCATCGGTACAGGGAATGGGGAGTGAGGCTGCACAGGCGCCCAGCCCACGCGCACTCATGAATTCCGCGGGGTTTCAGCAGCTCCCGCGTGACGGAGCCGTCACGGAAATCCCACCTAGTCCACGGACCCGCCTCGCACACCTTCCCGCCCAAAGCTGGCTTGCCTATCACATCGCACTAGCTACTCACCACCTTCCTCATAAATATAAACAGACGCACATTCCTCTGAAACGGAATGGCTGAGCAACCCCTCGGTTTGTGCCTGCGGTACTTGTTTCTGGGGGCGGGCAAAGGTAGGTTCACATAACACAGATAAACAACTGATAAATAACGACACGGGAATAAAGTCCCTTCACATACTCAACACTGTGGACCTACTTCTCCCCCCCCCCCAGTGCGCTGAGTGCTGTGACCAAGCAATGTCACTTCCAGGGGCCTTGGTCCCCACTCCGCCGCTCCATGGACACACGTGCTGGGGGGAGTTGGTCACCAACACCCTGTCAGTTCGTCACGGGAAGCTCGGGAAAAGTAACAAGCCCTCTAGGCACCAGTGGGCTGTGAGGAGCATGGGTACCTACACTTGTGTGCCCGTCAGCCACATGGCCCAGCCGAGCAGAGGGGGCGGGGCCTCGGGCCGCTTCCCGGGCCGGCGCACAGCGGCGTGGGAACCTGGGAGAAATGAGAAATGCACAGGACGGTAAAAGCACGTTCGTGGGGTCGGTATTCCTGCGCGAGTCTTGTCTTCGTGGTTCTGCAGTGTGGCTCACAGACATATGGGGCGATCTGCTGATTTTAACAAAGCAAAGTGTAAGAGTATAGCAAGAAAAGATCTAGTTTGAAAATGCCCCTGAAAGTGGGGAGGGGCCTTATGTCAAATGTCCTCCCCGGGCAAGGCTCCTGCAGTTTCTCCCCTGGGTCACTTGTTCCCGGGTGGTGTCCTTCCATTCACACTGACCGGCGCTCATTCTCTCTCCTGGTTGTCCCCCTCTGTGACAGCTGCGTGTGGAGGGAACCTGACCGGCCCGGCGGGCGTCATTCTATCGCCCAACTACCCGCAGCCGTACCCCCCGGGGAAGGAGTGTGACTGGACCATCACGGTGAACCCGGACTTCGTCATCGCCCTGATATTCAGAAGGTACCGTCCCACGAGGAGCACGTCTTTTCAGCAGGACGGCGAATGTCCACCCTAAGGATGCCCTTCCCCCCGAGTGGTATCCGATCTCACGCCCAGCCGAGAGCAGCTCCCGTGTCCGAGGGAGGCGGCATCGGCCACAAAGCGGCGCCTGAGCCAGCAGCCTCCCCTGGGGCCGCCCTGCGTGCTGCATGTGCCGGTGCCCGTGACGGGGCCGGCACCGCTTCTGGACTGCGTCTCCCACATGTCGCAGTTCAAGCGAGAAGGTTTAAGCTACTGAATGCCCATAAAAAGTAATCGGGACACGGGACAGATGTACGTCCCGTGATTTCTCAACAGCCTCTTCTCCCCCTGGATGAGTGAGAGCGAATTGATTTCCTTACTGCGTCTTGTTCCACTCCCTCCCCCCAAAAGGCGGTGCTACGACCATGAAAACAGTCCCCGTTCGGACTTTGAAAGGGGAAGTTCCCTGCCCTTCGGTTGCTATAAAATCCGAGTTCCCAGATGTGCATCCTAAGAAAAAAATTGAGAACTCCTTCCTGCGAGAGTGGGTGCTGGAGTTGTCAATGTGATGATTATTTCATCAACATGAATTCCATAGAACTGTCACGTTATAACTACTTGGTGTACATTACAGTTGCCTTTTTAAAACCCCAAGCTCTTCCCCAGCTTCACCCTCTGAAGGCCGAGCTTCGGGCAGTGTGAGTTCAGACAGTGAGGGTCCTTGAGGCCGCCCTCGGCACAGAGGCCTGGTGACACCGGTTAGTGGAGCCCGGCACCAGCTCCGTTTCTCCCGATGCCGGCGTCCGTTTCCGGCCTGGCTGGGGGTCCGGCTTCCCCCTCCGAACTCAGTGGGAGGGAGCAGGGAAACTGAACCCTCCAGGGTCCGAGTGCCAGGCAGGCAGATGGGCCTTCACTGCCTGAAGTCACTGAAACTGCCACAAGTTGACAAGTGGCGACCATGTTACGGGGCCACTCGGCCGCAGGGAAAGCCAGGGCAGGGCTGCGCCTGTTCTGGAAATCTCCGCAGTCCTGGCCATGCGAGGTCCCAGCAGTGCCCTGGTTAAAACCTCCTCGTAGCAGGAGAGGATGGGTCAGTGGACAACCCTGGGCGTGCGGGGAGGGGGGCCAGGCCGGGGGCACTCCCTGCCTGTGACTCCTCATCCAGGCGGCCAAACCTCGGGTCGTTCTGGGGCGCAGAAAGCTGTCTCCACAGACATTCCCAGTGTCCCTGCAGGTCCCCGCGCCTCCGGAGGAGGGTTGAACTGGAAATCTCCACGTGTTCAGCCCACGCTCGGGCGTTAGGAATCAGAAAAGTCACCTCCCTGTGACTTCTTCTAGAACCCGGTCAGGGCGCGTGTGCACGGCTGTGCCGTGGGGCAGTGGGGGCAGTGGGGAGTGCCCGGGGCCTTAGAAGGAAGGAGAGCACTCAGTCAGCAGGAGGAGGGGCCACAGCACCCACGGGGGCCAGACGCCCAGCTTTCCACTGAGGCCCGGCGACGGTGGGTGCAGGTGAGACTGAGTTCTGCTTTCCTGGGGCATGGAGGGGACAGGGGCCTGCAGCCAGCGCCCATGCAGGCTCAGCGGCACGGGCCCAGAGCCCACATGAGCGCCCGGCCTCGCCCTTTATGTGGGGACCACAGTGGGGAGGTCACAGGCCCCACAGACCGTGCGCCCCCGCAGTGGGACTCAGAGGAAATTGGGTTGAAAGCTTGGCCAGACTCTGGCCTGCTGTGGGGCCAAACTACCCCTGATTTCTCAGACAGAGCCATTAATTATATAAGGTCATTAATTATACTTGTCACTCCCGACGCTGCATGTGGATTCTGATACATCCAAAGACAAAGAGGGGGCAGTTGAGAGCAGTTAGAACATTTCTGTCCCGTGTTTCCAGTGTGCGAAAACAATCTAGCACGGTAACTCCCAATGCCAGTGTCAAGGGGTGCAGTGTGACCAGATTCGGGCAGCACCTTGCAGAGAGTCCTGATAAACTCCCCACCCCAGTCGACCCCTCAGGGCCTCGCGGCTCCCGGGGCCCCTGCCCACTCGGTGCCCCCCAGTCGTGCTCACACCTGTTCCGCTGCTGACCTCAGGGAGCTCGTCAGCTAAACAGACGAGCGGAACGTCCACAACTTTCTTTGGTGACTATACTGTCGAGAGACCCCCATTATCCACGGTTGCTTTAGGCTTTTTCTACTACCTGGGGCCCACCGAGGTCTGAAAGTATGAAAGGGAAAGTTCCAGAACTAAACAAGTCAAAGCTGTAAGCTGCGTGCCTTCTGCCGCTCTAGGTCTCTCCTGATGAAATCCGAGGCCTTCGTTCTGCCCGCCCCCCCATGACTTGCCCCTCCCTCCGGCCAGCCCGCCCCTGTCCCTGAGTAACCCCCTCTCTCCGTGACCGAGGGACACCACAGTCCCACAGCTCTGATCACAGCGTATGGTCGTGAATGCTCCACTTTACCGCCACCGGCTGTTCTCAGACTCTGCCCCGCCCTCTGGCTGCCTTAGACGTTATCGGAGGAACGAGTGTGCGGGGAGAATCGGCGCATACGGGGTCCAGTACTAACCCTGGCCTCAGGTGTCACTGGGGGTCTTGGAACGCACCCCTGGGAATAAGGGGTCTCCTGATTCGGGGGTCTCCTGGGAGAGAGCGCGGCCCGACACAGGGCGGTGGCAGCGTGCAGGAGGGCCGGCAGGTACCAGTGCGGGGTCCCCTGTGGTCCCCATTGGTTTCCTCCCAGACACCAGAGCAAGTTCAGGGGACCTCACATATGTGTTTTATCACCTGAATTTCCAGATAAAGGGCCTGCGGGTCTAGCGACTCCTGTCCCTTCCTGCTGCTCCCCAGCTGAGGAGTGACAGGGGTGTGCATGGGGCCCAGATTAGAGAAGGGGGACCGGAAGGGGGGGCCCGGAAGGCGCCGTAGACGCCTCTGTCTGGTTCGTCCGTTCTGCTCACAGTGAGCCCTGTGGCACCCGAACCCGCTCAGCCTCTGGCCCCGGAGCCCACTCACTTGCAAAGGTCCCAGACTTACCGCGGCCTCGCCTCAGCCGCGGCAGGGGCACCTAAAGCCACCTCCCTCCTGAGAGCACGGGGCTCTGCGGGGTTTCCAGGATGTTAGCGTTCGAGGAGAGAGAGAGGTCGAGTGAGAAACAGAGTGGGAACGAGAAGTGGGGACCCCCCCCGTGCGGTGGCCGGAGAGACACCCCCGCGCTCGGTTCCCCATAGAAACCACTGCCGTTGGCCGAGCTTCCCGGGGGAGGAGGGCCAGTTACATTTACAAAGGACAAACAGTCACGGAGAACTTTCTTTAAACCCTTAAGAACGGTCAGTACTACCAAGTGTCCACATAGTTACCAGCTATCGGCGGTAATTCACCCTCCTGCGTCCAGAGCAGGACATTCTGTGTGTTTCTGGGGTCCCTGTTCTCATCGGGGTCGTTCACAGGGATGCGGTTTGGAGTCAGGTGAACTCTGAGCAGCGTGTATTACAGTGGATGCCTGTTGCTGTTACTCCCATTTTGACACTTTGATCGCCTTTGCCGTCCGGATTGTCCCCGCAGCTTCAACATGGAGCCCAGCTACGACTTCCTGCACGTGTACGAGGGCTCCGACTCCAACAGCCCGCTCGTGGGCAGCTTCCAGGGCGCCCAGGCCCCCGACAGGATCGAGAGCAGCGGCAACAGCCTCTTCCTGGCGTTCCGGAGCGACGCCTCCGTGGGCCTGTCGGGCTTCGCCATCGAGTTCAAAGGTACCGTGAGCGGCGCGGGCGGGCGCGGGCGGGCGCGGGCATCCCCGCCGGGCAGTCTGCGCCGTTCTCGTTGTTGTACGAGGCCTCGCTGCCTGCGTCACGCCTGACAGGCTGGCGTCTGCCCGTCTGTCTGGGGCAGGTGTCGGACCTGAGCTGTGGGGACAGAAATCCAGACCCGTGTCCCCGCTTTGCTAGGGAGCGCATACGAGGAAGCTGTTTCCCAAACCCACGGTCATTTTACAAATGACGATCCGTGCAGCGGAGCAGAACATCCGGGGATGAGCCTCGGACGAGCTTACACGGCTTCTGCTCTGTGTCTTTCACTCAGTTTACCTGTACCGACCCCCTTGGTCTTTCCTCAGTGTTTTCCCGTGTGAAACACCCCGGGCGTCAGGTGGTGAGGACTCCAGCCAGGCACAGCTGGCTCCCTGGTCACCAGACCATCGGGGACCCGCCTAGCCCTGTCAGTCACGCCCCGAGGCAGCAGACAGACGCCCACAGAGTGCACCCTGACCGAGCAGTTTGCTCTCGGATCCGTGAAAACAAGTCATTCCTGTCCAAACCCCTTTCTCACGTGGACAAAGAAAAGGCAGAGAATCCAAGAGATGGACTTAACAAAATATTAATTTTCAATAGTGAGCACTTTACTAAAAATAACAAAAATATGTGCTTTTGCTGAAGCTCTTGAGTAAGTTATCAGTTATTAGACCTTTAAAATAAGTGTTCCATCTCTCTTAACTCTTCGACAGGCTTGTCTTTCTCTCTCTGGTTTTAAGTAGAAAACTAACCTATTCCCCCAAAACAGCAAAATCTACAAACGTACAGACCATTACGAAAAGGCACTGGAAATGCAGGCGATCAGCAGTCAGGGGTCCCTGGGCTGCTGGAAGGACGCGGTCTGCGGACGTCCGGGAGCAGTGAGCCAGACTCTCTAGGAGGACGTGTCCTCACATGGCTTCTGTGCAAACAGAAGTCCCCTGAAGTGCGTCCCCCGACAGCGCGGTCCTGTGAGGGAGAAGGACGAGCGCACTTCATCTGCAGGTGCAGACGCGCCGTGACCCTTCCTGCCAGGACGGCCCACCGCGTGCCTGGTGCCCTCCGTGGAGGAGGGTGCGTGGGTCCCCTGCCTCGCTCGTGGAAAGGAGGAAGAGCTGCCCTTGGGTTCGTGACCCTTCCTTCCCTGACCAGGCAGCTGTCCAGTCAGGGGCTGCAGCCCCTCACAGTTTAAAGCGTCCCCTGGGTGTCTGTGACAAAACAGAACCTGCGGAGAACAAGGAGGCACCGTGGTGACGAAGATTCGTGTCCATCGGGGACGGGCCCCTGCGGGTCTGGGGGCAGCATCAGGGCCTGGTCCCTGTCACCACAGGAAGTCGGCGCCCCTGCCGAGCGAGGATGGGGGCGCTGGCACACTCACCCCACTGGACCCCGATAGGACCCCCGAGGGGTCCCAAAGCAGTGGGGACGTGCACACCAGCAAAACACGCCACGTTATGAAGTCATCTCATCCGCACGGTGACAAGCTGCGAGAAAGACGCCCCCACGATTTACCACCAGGCATCCTGCACGGACAGCTGGGTAACTGGCGCCGGAGGCTTGGGCGCGGTTCATTGCTGGGCATGTTAAACACCTGGCGTCGGCGATCAAACTTAGTGACATGGAGCAGAAGATGGTGCAGCTGGGACTCAACCCAACAGAAAATTAGCTAAAGATTAATCACAGAGTAAATGGCCCGCAAGGCTGACAAGGGGACGGCCACGGACTGCAGGCGTCTGCCGAGAGCTTCTCACTCTTCTGTGAGGGAGGCGAGTGCGCCCGACAAGCACTTGGATTGCCAGGCGCTCGCGGCGTCCTGTGGGCGACGGAGGAGACCCCAGCCTACTCTGGGGGCAGCTGTCCCCATTTGTCCCTTCACGTTCAAGGGAGGTGTCCCGGGTCCTCTGTGGGCTCGGAGGCAGCCACAGAGAATCGCCAGACTGTCACCTCCCGGTGACATAGCCAGGAAGGTCTGCAGCGAAGCCATCGGAGAGACCGTCCACCAGACCCACCCACAGCCAAGGCATGGAGCCCACAGAGGGCGTCACGTTATTGTACGTGAGCATGTCACTGTACCATGTCGCTGTGCCATGTCGCTGTGCCATGTTGCTGTGCCATGTCGCTGTGCCATGTCACTGTACCATGTCACTGTACCATGTCACTGTACCTGCAGGTCACAGAAGTGATACAGCCTGTTGGTCGATACAATTCATTCTATGGCATGATATCAAAATATATCACTGCCATAAATATGCAAATACTTATGGGTGCACATTTGCATGCATTTGTATACTGTGGTTAAAACAGACATATAAACATGTATTATGCAATATTTATGTATGTTGCATTTTAACCACAGCACGCAAGCAAATGGTGCGATAGAACATGCTAATGTTTGCTAATGGAAATCAGAAGATGCTAATGGAGGGCCAGCACTTGCCCCGCGGACACGGACACGCAGGGTGTGGCAGCTACGATGGGAAATGAGGATACAAATGGGAAACAGGCCTGCTTCTCTCCCCGCGGCCCACCCCAGGTCTGGCTGGCTCCCCTTTATCTAGTCCTCAGGGCTGAGCGTGGTGGAAGGCTCTCCGAACTCCTGTCTGCCACTTCCCGGGGTGGCCCCTGTCCCAGTGGGTCACCATCAAAGAGTGAAATAACACCCTGCCCCCACTTACACTTTGCGGAGATTCTTGGACCTGAGGAGCCACTGGGCTCTCTACCACGGAGGAGGGAGGCCGGAGGAAAGAGCAGGCAGTCTCTACTTTACCCTCGGCTTGTGCTCCAGCCCGTACTGGATTCACTAACCCCCCCTCACACGTGCTCGCCGGTGCGCACGCGTGCAGAGTGGTAGTTTACTAACTTTAAAGCGTGAAGGGGAACGTTCCAGGGAACTTGCGTGTTGACCACGCGGAGACTGGGAAGTGCGCTGCCACCGGTTCCGACGAGCGGGGAGCTTGGGTGGCGGGGCGCGGAGGAGCAGCAACAAAACGCAGGTCGGATGACCAGATTCCACGCAACGTGGAGGCGCGGGTGTCTTCTCCGTGCGGAGATGTTTGGGGAGCTCTGTTGAAACAGCACGTTGAACATTTTAAGTCTACCAAGGGGGAGCTGGGTCTACCTACAGCGCAACAAGACTCCGAGGAAAAAAAAATAAAGCCGATTTTGTATTTATATTTGGGAAAAGAGAGGTTTTGGGTAGCGGTCTGTCTTACTGAATGGATCCGCAGGTAGACAGGTCTCCCCAGTGTGTTTTTCCTGAAAGTTACGTGACTTTTCTGGAGTTTGTCCAGACTCTCAGGTGTGGGGTGGGCGGGACCCCGCGCCGACAGCGCAAAATGGGCCGCGCACTGTGCGCATGCCCAGTGCCGAAAGCACAGGCCCCCAACTCTCTGACCCGCTGCCACGGCAGCAGGGACAGGTGTGTCCGGGATCCTCACACCCAGGGCTGGACGCGTGCCGGCCGGTGAAGGGCGTTTCCAGCTCAGGCTGATGCGCCCTGGGACTTGGCGAGGGTGGCGGAGGCCAGAGCATCTTCCCCGCTGTCTTCTCAGTCCGTCCGTGCGCCTCTCGCAGGGAAGCCCGACGCCCCATAGCTTCCCGGGCAAGCCCCATTTCCACGGTACTGGGGCTTAAGTCGGAGAGTCGGGACATGGACTGATTCCCCCAAAATCAGTTTCTTTGGCTCAGCACTAAAATCTGTGATCAAAAAAGGGGTAGATGTATAAAATTATATACAGATGAAAGCAGTAATTCATTAGCAATCCTGTAGGAAAATGTACAACTGAAAACTTAGAGATACAATTTTGTTGTTTTCCCTACTTTTCCATGACATTTCATTTTGAATTTTTTTTATAATTTATTTTTTAAATTGATTATACTGTTACAGTTGTTCTATTCCCCCCTTCATCCCCCTCCACCCTGCCCCCCCCATCCCCACCATTACCCTCCTTTAGTTTATGTCCATGTGTCTCAAGTCCTTTAGGTTCTATATTTCCCATGCTATTCTTGCCCCCCCCATCTATTTTCTATCTACTGTCTATGCTACTTATTTTCTGTACCTTCTCCCCCCCATCTCCTCCTCCCACTCCCCCTGTTGCTAACCCTCCTTGAGATCTTCATTTCTATGTTTCCACTCCTGATCTAGCTGTTCTTTTAGTTTGCTTTCGTTTTAGGTGTGGTTGTTAATAACTGTGAGCTTGTTGTTCTTTCACTGTTCATGTTTCTTTAACTTCTTTTTCTTAGATAAGTCCCTTTAACATTTCATATAATAAGGGCTTGGTGATGATGAACTCCTTGAATTTGATCTTATCTGAGAAGCACCTTATCTGTCCTTCCATTCTAAATGAAAGTTTTGCTGGATAGAGTAATCTTGGTTGTAGGTCTTTAGATTTCATGACTTGGAATATTTCTTTCCAGCCCCTTCTTGCCTGTAAGGTCTCTTTTGAGAAATCCACTGACAGTCTGATGGGGACTCCTTTGTAGGTGACTGTCCCCTTATCTCTTGCTGCTTCTAGGATTCTCTCCTTCATTTTAATTTTGGCTAATGTAATTATGATGTGCCTTGGTGTGTTTCTTTTTGAGTCCAACTTTTTTGGTACTCTCTGAGCTTCTTGGATTTCCTGGAAGTCTATTTCCTTTGCCAGATTGGGGAAATTTTCTTTTATTATTTGTTCAAATAAGTTTTCCACTGGTGGTTGTGTCTTTCCCCCTTCTGGTACCCCTATAATTCGGATATTGGAGCGTTTAAAGATGTCCTGGAGGTTCCTAAGTCTCTCCTCATTTCTTTGAATTCTTGCTCCTTGACTCTTTTCTGTTTGGCCATTATTTGCTTTCTTCTGGTCCACTCCATTGATTTGAGTCCCAGTTTCCTTTTCAACGCTATGGGTTTCCTGTGGAATTCCATTCATTTCCATTAGTTTCGCCTTCATATATTTGTCTAATTTGTCGGTATAATCAACCAGATCTATGAGGATCCTGATGACCAGTGTTTTAAACTGTGCGTCTGAGAGTTTTGCTATTTCTTCGTCGCTTAGATTTATCTCTGGGGCTTTGAGGTCTTCCTGCGACATTTTTGGTCTGTTCTGGCCCTTTAAATGTGAGAAGCGGCGCCTGGGACTCCCAGGTCGCTGGGTTGTGACGTTGTATGTGGGGGCGTGGTCAGAGCGGGGAAATGGCGGCGCCCTCTACCGCCGCTTGCTGCGGGGACACTGGGCCCCGGTCCAACCGCCCACTCCCTCGCCCGTCCACTCGCCCGCAAACAGGCAACCGCAGTCAACACGCAGCACCGCCTCCCCACTGTCTCCTCTGCAGTTGCTCACCCGGTGGGTTGCTCGGTCGCTCACTAGGTCCAGTCCTGCGTTTGGAACCCGTGCGTCTGGATTCGCGCGTCTGGATTCCGCGCCCGGGTCCGACTCAGTCCTCCTGTGCAACCCCTCACGAGACGCTGGTTTCGCCCCTTACCGGTCGAGCCGAAGAATTTGTTGTTAATGGACTTCCGAAAAGTTCAATTTTCCGTGTTCTGTTTGTGTTTTCTGATGCTAATATTTAGTTGTCCCCAAACTTGGTTGTGTGAGAAGGCACGGCACATCCACCTATACCTCCATCTTGGCGGAAGTCCTCATTTTGAATTTTTAAGTCTGTTGTACTGTTTATGCTATTACAGTTGTCCCATTTTTTCTCCCCTTTCTCCCCCTCCGCCCTGCACACCCCTCCCCCCTCACTCCCCCACCTTAGTTCACACCCATGGGTCGTACATGTAAGTTCTTTGGCTTCTCCATTCCCTACGCTCTTCTTAATTTGATCATTAGTAACTTGATAATTATTGCTAGAGTATGCAACTATTAACTTCATAATTAATGAACAACCTTGTTATCAGCCAATTGATAAATATTTGTGGAGCATTTCTCAAACGCTGGGTTCCACTGAGGCACTGAAAAAATAATTAAATGAGCGACCAGACAACCGAACACACACACGAATTGAGACGCCCGGTCTCACGTTCGCTCCCTCTGCAGAGAAACCGCGGGAGGCCTGCTTCGACCCTGGAAACATCATGAACGGGACGAGAGTCGGGACAGATTTCAAACTGGGCTCCACCGTGACCTACCATTGTGACCCTGGCTACACCATCGTGGACCCCTCGTCCATCGTGTGCGTGATCGGAGCCGACGGGAAGCCGGCCTGGGACCGCGTCCTGCCGACCTGCAGCGGTGCGTGTGCCTTGGTCTTGCCTGGGAGTCCAGCCGGTCCGCAGACGGCGCCCCACTGCCCCCTGTAGGCCGCGGGTGGGATCGCGGTTGGGATCCGAGAAAGGCCAGAAGACAGACAGCATCCCGCCCTCCTGCTGCCTTAACTCACGTCTGTTCTGTCCTGGGAAGGGTGGTCTTTCTTTCCCTTTTGCTTTGGGCAGCAAAGCGAAGCAGCTTTTGGACTTTTACATTCTGCTGAGTATTTAGGGGACCCCGGCACCCCGCAGCTCCTCCCCTGGGCCCCTGTTGCCACCCCTGCCACGTTGCGGGCACCTAACCCTGGTCACTCCCCTTCCAGCTCCCTGCGGGGGCCAGTACGCAGGGTCGGAGGGCGTGGTGCTGTCGCCCAGCTACCCCCAGAACTACACGGCCGGCCAGGTGTGCCTGTACTCCATCACGGTGCCGGAGGAGTTCGGTAAGGACATGTTCCTGTGTTTGTGGACTCGTTGTCCTGTGTGTCCGTGTGCACGGGTCTGTCACTTTACAACCGCCCCAGCCGTTGGCGTAATAAACCGCCATGAAGTCGGGGCCACGTGGAGGGGCGGGTCTCCCGGCCCGGCCCACGCAGGACCCGGCTCCTTCCTCTTCTCCCCGGGACCTGGACTGCCCCCCTGTCCTCCCAGGGTTCTGGCCCCGGATGGGCAGAGAGAGCAGGTCCGGCGCTCCCCTTACGTTGGCCACAAAGCACCTTTTCAGTGGGCTGTTTCCGGGACTAAGGGAGGGCCGCAGAGCCTCGTGGGTCAGGGACGTCATCATGTGACCGTGAGGGACGTCCCCGGGTCGGGGAGCACACCTGTGAGTGACCGGAGGTGGGAGGCCCGGCCGTGTCCCGTGTGACCCTGGAAACCAGGCTTCCTGACCTTCCCTCCTCAACTTTGCTTCCGACCGGAGCCCGAGGCCGAGCCAGTTTCCCTGAAGGGCTGCATTTCCAGAAGGGTCTCCGGGGCGGCCCGTCCTCGGTGAGGTCGGTGCTGGGCACCGGCATCTCCCCCCCAGGGAGCAGGACACTGTCCTTCGTGCGGCCTTCGGCCCCAGAGCCAGCCTGGTAGTAGGCTTCATCGTGGTACCGATGGCGCTTGTTTCCAGCAGTAAAACTAAAATCCTGCATCGTCTGGCTTTTTCTTCGCATGCAAGTTAGCAGCTACCCCCTCATAGAAATAAAGCCGATAAAGATTCTAATGTCAGAGTGATTGGAGGTAAAACATTTTTAAAAATTCAATTCTATGGCAAGAACATCAATTGCTGGGCAAGAAGCTGGCTTATGGGAGAAATCAAACAATTTCTGTGAAGTTCTGTCATCTATTATTTATAATCCATCATTTTAGCTTATTCCAGAGTTTTATTGAGTTGTCACAACACAATTGTGATTTTTCAGCAGGAAAACTCACACCCCCGTCCTATGTATTGATCTGACTTTCCAATCTGAAATGTTTGTGATATAAACATACAGGACATTCTTGACGAAAATCTACACTGTCTTAGCTTTTATTCCCCCTGATTTCCTGATTCTCTGCTGGGGATGAATCAGTTCAACGACTGTGATAAGTGCTGGGATGAATGAAAAGTGGTGCCACCCAGTCCTGTGAGACGGGGTGGTGGTCACTGGGGAAGGAACAGCTAGGACAGGTCTTCAGGTGCCAGGAACACCCCCCTTGTTCACCCCAAAGCATCCTTCCTGAAACAAGACTGGACCATGCAGACCCCTGGGTGAGCACCGTCTCCCACACCTTCACCCCGGAGCCGACCCCGGGTTTCAGTCCTGGCTCAGAGGATGAGACAGCGAAGGAAGAAACTGGAAGAGAGAACCTCGCGAAAACCAGTGTCCCCTCCTTGTGATGCTGTTTTAGAGCGACCCCGTCGCTGGGGGTCCGGCCCTTGCATCCTTCAGCCCTCGTGGGCATCTGCTGCACAGGCTCTATTGCGCATGAACGGAACATGAGTGTGACAGAGCATGTGCCGTGTGCACAACTGAACACACACGGGAGCCACGGGCTTCGGGTCGCCTCGTCGTGCCCACACTTCCCTCAGTTCCTTCGCTGGAATCCCGATGTGCGTGATGGGTGTGCAGGCATCTTGCCCAGAATGGTGTGTGGGGACCTCAGCCGGACACCAACACGTGTGTGGGACCCAGCTGCTTGTTGCTCAGGAATCAGCGCTAAACTGTGGGTTTCTGTGACCCCAGGTGTGGCTGAGTCCCGCGCTTAAACTGCAAGGAACTCACATGAATTGGTGTGAAAATGCTCAGTGCTTAGGGCTCTCTGACTCCACACTGAGTCGTATGCTTTCCAGACCAGGCGGTGTCCTGCTCCCCGAGCTGGCTCCTCGGGCCCTAGACTAAGCGGGGTGGCGTCTGGGGGACCCCCACCACCCGGAAGTAGGATGAAAGGAAACCGTCTTCACTGATGTTCCAACTGTGCAGAAAACAGCAACCCCACTCCATCCATAAGAACTAAAAGAGGAGCAAAATCAAATAGTTTTAGCTGAGAAGTTTCAGAAAGCAAAGCAGTTCATTATTCTCGACTGGGGTCTTAGGACCGGGACCCTTGGGAGGACGGAGTCGGTCCGTAGTTCAGGCAGAACCTGCGCCCCCGCCTCTCTAAGCCTGCCGTGCCGCCTTCCCTCCCCAGTGGTGTTCGGGCAGTTCGCCTACTTCCAGACGGCGCTGGACGACGTGGCCGAGCTGTTCGACGGGGCCCAGCCGCAGGCCAGGCTGCTCAGCTCGCTGTCCGGCTCGCATTCCGGTAACGCATCGCTTCCCTTGCACTGGGACAGCACGAGTGAGGAACTGTTGACTTGTGTGTGTGTGTGTGTGTGTGTGTGTGTGTGTGTGTGTGTGTGTGTGTCAAGGGGCAGGGGGAGTGAAAGCTCATCTCTGAGAGCGTTTGTTTAGTAAGATCTTACCTTCGATGTGAAAGTTCAAATGCACTTTTATCCCATATGAGAAAACCACTTGCCTCTATCATTTTATTTACGAAGATTACGAAAAACGCAATGTCCGTCTGGTAAAGACGGCAAGTGTCAGGAAGAGGAAGGAGCGTCCCGTGCACTTGGTTTTCCGTTCTGCCTGCTGGGCCTCCTCCCGGAGCCCACGGGACTGGCGTGTGTCTCCACCATCTGAATCCTGTTCACGTGTGTGGAGCCGCCCCACCCACGCGTGTAAACAGTACATGTGTTCACACGCATGCACCCACGTATGTCCACGTGTCGGCAGGTCAGGGATGTTAGCTCGCAGCTGATTTTTACTCTGCGCTTTCGCTGCACGGGGCGTTTTTGAGCCTCCCTGTGAGGCAACACTCGGCACAGGCTGTGGCTGCTCCGTTCTGAGCGGCGGCCCGCGGGGCGACCGGCCCGCAGCGTGCTCATGCGCACACACCTCACGCCCGTCCGTGGCGGCACCGCTGCATCCTGCCGGTCACCCAAACTCAGGGAGGTCCCCTGTGTGCGTCACAGACCAGGGCCACCCGAGGTCGAGGTCTGGTGAGCCTGGTTTCGCTATTAGTGACCCACGGCCTTAAACCCGAGTCCTGGTCACTTCTCTGTGTCCAAAGATGGGGGTCAGGGGACCTCAGAGGACACACATGTAAAACATGGACCCACACTGAAAACCCACCTCCGGAGGGTCACGCCATCCCCACGCCCCTCACAGGGCCTGACAGTGACCACTCGGGCACAGCACCTGCACTTTAGTCAGAAGGTGAAAATAAAACGTGCTTCCTGAGATTTTTACCTAAATCCTTTAATTTTTTAAGCCAGCTTTGGATTCAGAGACACTTTGTCAAGTTTAAGTAAAGTCCGAGCACATGATTGTCAAACGGAGTTGACTCTGCCCCCATGATTCACGGATCCTATCTCCCACCTTAGCGGCTCGTAGGCGGTTCTGGGCGATGCCTTTTCAAAGGGAAGCAGACGTGGGACCGTGGTTAGAATAGCGTCCCAACAGAATGGACGTGCAAGAGCAAAGCTCTTCAGTCGCCGTAGAAACAATTGCTTTGTCCTAAACCCAAAAGTGCAGTTCCATGAGCATTCAAAAGTCACGCGTTGCATTCCCAGTCTGTAGTCATTTTCCGAGATACCACATCGCCCACCACTGCGCGGTGCATTGTGCTGGTCCACCCGTGTACGAGCTCTTGTTTCTTCCCCAGGGGAGACCCTGCCTTTGGCGACGTCCAATCAGATCCTGCTCCGGTTCAGCGCCAAGAGCGGGGCGTCTGCCCGCGGCTTCCACTTTGTGTATCAAGGTAAACGCCGTGGCCGCGCGGGGGCCTCCCGACCCTCCCAGTATCCACTTCCGTCCCAGGGGGTGGTCTGAAAGCGCCCGGCTGCACTCTTCGGTGTTTAAGAGATTGAGGCTGTTTGTTTATTTATAGTACGGTTATTTAATAAGAACGTTAAGGTTTTTAGTTTGGCACACATCTGTTTAAACCACAAAGATGAAACATCACCTCCTTTTTCTGACACAGGCAGGAAACACATGCCAATCAAGTTAGTTTTATGTAGAACTTCACATTTTGCAAAACATTTCAAATGCATTATAGTTCATCTAATTAAGAAAAATGTTTCCTAAAACTTTAGATTTTTGTAACCGTGCTAAGAAAACCCTCATAAAATAAGTTATCCGTTTCCAAATCTCACTGCAAAAACTGATTGAAAAGACAATAATTTCACAAAAGCAAATAAAATGTCCCTGCATCTGTCACTCTGTAGATACTTTAATTTGTGTTCTATCGACTTTTGAGATCTCAGTGCTTTCTGTTTATGTCTGGGTTTGGGGCTTGTGCAGCAGCGTGTTTGAGGTTCCTCCTCGAGGTTCCTGAGAAACGAGGGTTTTTTCCCTCGTGCTGCTCGCTCGTGGTTGTGCATGTTCATCCGTGAACTTGGGGTGGCAGCGTGTGACTGGTTCACGCTCTCCCTTTTGGAGGTGCTGGTGGGTCTGCGTTTCTGGGGTGCAGGGCGGCGCAGGCCGGGGTCTGGGAGACGCCGTCCTCTTCAGCGACGAGCTGAGTCTGCAGGATCAGGAGCAGCACCCCACTGCCCTCGCTCCCCGTTTTGCTCGAGTGGAGACGCTGGGCTGCTCTCCCACCTTTTCCTCCGGAGCAGACGAGAGTCCCGCCCTAGAGCGGCCTCGCCTCGTTCCTGAACACGCTCCAGGAAACCGCGTGACGGCATCGTGTGTTGCAGGATGTGGGGGGATGACAGCTGCCACGTCACTCGTGTGTCTAGTGACCTCACCCTGCAGGCCCACGTTGCCTGCTGAAGACACCTGTCTGCCGTCAGCGGTCGGGTGATCTCGCAGGAACAGCGAGGGAGCGGCGTGTGCGAGGCCAGTCGGAGGGAAGCTCCCTGACCCAGTTGGAGCCGCCGCTGCCTGGACGAAGCTGAGTTGGAGCCAGTGACGTCGCTCTACCTGAAGCTTTCAGTTGGGCTGGAAATGGCAAACCCCGTAGTTAGAAAGCGGACGTGACTGGAGAGTGGCCAGTTCCGGCAGCTCGCGTCCTACCCCTCCTAACTTTCTGAAAACAAGTTCAATGTTACCTTTTGCAAAATGTAACCTATTTACAAACCAAAGTTGGTGAGACGTAAACAACTTGAACCACTTGGTGCAGTTTTCATCCTGGAAAATCTCACATTGCAAGTTCCTGACCTCAGCTGCCTTGAGGACAGGCATCCTTTGAGGGTGTGTTTTTAAAAAAATAAAGGTTAGAAAAGCAATCAGACCATGATATAAAATATCTGAGGCAAACGACCCAATGGCTATCCTATTTTCAAATACTACACTTCAAAGTCATCCTTTTGAAAATTCTTTCTTTAAAGTAACATATTAACATCAGCATGGCCTAACCCCGGCAACAGAAATAAAAGCCAGGGACTCATAGGTGACTGCGCGTCCCTTGTCCTCAAGAACAGTGAGGACTCCAGCGTCCTCAGTATTCGTGGGGTCCAGCACACCCTCTTTGCTGCTGTGGCCCTGTGCTGAGTTTGTGCAAAAATCGATGGCTTTGTGTCAGAGCTAAACCCTCGGGGTAAAGAGCTGGGACCTAGAATGCCACCGGTGACAAAGGATGCGGGAACACCTTTGTGGGGACGTGTCCAACACTCGTGAAAAGTTAAATCGGAGGTTGGCCCCTGAAGGCGAGGGGTTTGTGGAAGCCTAAACTACTTGAACGCCACTCTATGAAAACGTTCTGAACAGGGCTTTCACCCACTGATACGGCTGCTTTCACGGTTCTAAAGCTTGGAATTGCTCAGGGACTTGAGCTTGGTGGTCACAAGACACCTCGCCCTTGAGGCCCCAGGGGAGGGGGGTGTCAGGAGGCCAAAAACCTGCAGGGGGCGCCGCTATCGCCATCACTTACTGTAACAGAACATCTCAGTCTGCTTTTCATCAGAAGAATGTAGAACTCTGAAGTCTCATTAATGCTTTAATTGTACCCACGAGACAGGAAACAATGTTATTAACTTCCACCTTCTGATAGAAAGTGCGTCAGTGCTGCCTCAAAATGTAGCCCAATCAAAATAATCTGACTTCAGATGAGCTCGCTGTCTTACCAGAGGCTCCCACAGGGGGTCTGTGGTGGCCCGGGTCAGTTCACCGCTGGGGCAGCATGGAGACGGGGGTGATCCCTGAGGACCTGAGTCCCGGCGAGGGCTGTACGCACGAATGAAGACATGTAGGGCCCAGAAGAACGGGATCGCAGATGCAAACGCAGACCGATCCCCCCCCCCCCGCAGAGAACGAGGACCGGGTTTGCAGGTCCCCAGCTGAGCGGCTGCTGCATCTCTGTGTCTGAGTCTGTTTGCCGTGACCGACCTCCTGGCCATGAAGTATTTCCCAACCTGCACCCCTGCCCTTTTCATGCAGAGAAGACCCCCGACAGCTGGTGGATTCTGAGCTGCAGCCCTGGGGTACCTCCCCGCCAAGCAGCAAGGAGGCTCAGCGGCCACCGCCCACCCCCACAGAACCGGAAACTCAGTGGTCAGCGAGCTTTTCCCTGGCTGCATCCATGGGGGCTGTGAGGTGCAGAGAAACCAGATGTCTCCACAGGGAGTCCCCGCAGGGCAAGGCGGGGGTCAGGCTGTGCTGGCTGCTTCCTGTGGGGGCTGTCCGGGTGGTGGGTGGGCAGTGTCTGTGTCAGGAGGATGGGGAATGGAGCGCAATGCAGCTGTGACTAGGAAATCGCTCATGTTAATGGGAAGAGTGGGACTCGGATCTTTTCTGGGGATTGTATAGATTTTCCGACAGCGCTGTGGTCAGCCCCGGACTCACGGCGGGCTCAGAGGCCGTATGTGGTCAGCAGGAGGGTACGCGGCCCAGCGCTCAGGCCCAGCAGCCCCAGGTGGCAGGTGGCAGGTGGCAGGTGGCAGAGCTTCCTGGTCGTCCTCACACCTGCAGCCTGGGCTGAGCGATGCCCTCGCCAGCACGTTATGAAACTGGGCTTTTGTTGCTTCATCGGTCTTTGCCATTTCCAAACATACAATTAGGATATTAGTCATGTTTCTAAAAGTGCACATCTTCTAAGTGTCGGGTGGCCGCCTGGGGAAGCGGGGTCTCTTCTCTGTCCCCAACGCGGCTCTCCGGTCCCCACCACGTGCCCGTGGGGAGTGGCTGGTCCGAGAGGCAGACCCCGTGGAAGGAGGTGGACGTGTGGGCTGTTTTCATAGCACGGCTGTTTCCATCACGCATGAATAAAGAAGGCTGCGGTGGACATGCTCTGCGGCCCCAATTTCTGTTACTTTGGGTAAATAACCAGAGGGGGCGGCTGGGTTTTTGTCCATTCTTTTTCCAGATTTGTTGTTGTTTTGTGATGACCGTATTATAAGCAGTCTTTGATGGATAGCCGCTTTTCTCACTAGAGTCTAGGGCCCTTGAGGACAAACAAGCTCAAGTTCTTAGGGACGTCAGTACCACTGGGCGCTTAATTCATTTTAATTGCCCGAAGGTCACTGGGTCCTCCCGGGCACTGACCCCCCGCCCTCCTGCCATGTGTCCTGTCAGAGATGAGATGGGAGGCCACCCTCGGTGTCAGCAGGAGGGGGAGTGTGGGCGGGCGTGTGCCCCGCCCCTCCCCTGGCCAGGGGTGGACGGCGTTCGTTACCAGCTCCACAGTCACTGACGCTCCGTGCTGGCTCATCTGGGGTCTCCGTCTGCGAAAATGCCGATGTCCGCCTTGTATGTTTCGCCTGCAGCCGTGCCCCGGACCAGCGACACCCAGTGCAGCTCCGTCCCCGAGCCCAGATACGGCCGGAGAATCGGCTCCGAGTTTTCAGCGGGTTCGGTCGTGCGGTTCGAGTGTAACCCCGGGTACCTGCTGCAGGGGTCCTCGGCCGTGCGCTGCCGGGCGGTGCCCAACGCACTGGCCCAGTGGAACGACACCATCCCGAGCTGCGTGGGTGAGCGAGTGTCCCCCCACGTACCTGTGTGCATGAGGCTGCCGGTCCCAACCACCCCACGGTGTCAGGGAGCTGTCAGCCCTCTGTCCGAGCCCCAAAACCCGATCACATTCCAGACCCGTTCAAAGAGCAGTTTGTGTTGCTGGAAATAATTGGGCGGCAGCAAACCCTAAACGTTACTGTTTCCTGGAAGCACCAATCAGATCAACAAGTAGGAAGCCTGTTTGCTTCTCGATTCTTACTGAGAACCCCATCGACTGCCCAGCCCTGGGCATAATTCCATTGCGGGGGGTCATTCTCCTGTCACTTTGCAGAGCACTCTCTCCCACGTGTGTGCTGACGAGGTTTCGAGGGCACCGGGTTCAGGCAGGCTGAATGGCAATGACATTGCGAGTCCTGGTTTCCTGGCTGCACTCGTGGGAGACCTGCGATGCAGCCAGGCTCGGCCCTGGAGGTCACGGGCGCCTCTTGGGCGCCTCTCCCCCACTCCGCCCTGGCTCGTGAGCTGCCCTAAAATCCCCTGGAGTCCGGTGCTGGTCCGCACTCGGAAATGAGCAGAGTCTGCAGGGCTCCTGAAACGCGGCAGGCAAATTCCTGAAACAGGCGTGGACACCCAGATGCCCTTGGCAGGCAGGGCCCCTCCTTGGAGGCAGTGACGAGGTTTCTTTATAAAGACACAGGTCTAAGCTGAGTAGTGTTGTACCTGATACCCGGGTCGCTAATTTAAGACAACAGGTTACCACTGATTGACCTTCAGAGCATTGCGGTCCCTGTGACGTGTCTCACGATAGTTGCGCACACAGGCGGAGGGCGCCCGGCACCAGGCGGAGGGCACCCCCTTGGCTGTGTTTTACCACCCCCCCCCCCCCCCGTCTTCCAGTCCCCTGCAGCGGCAACTTCACCCAGCGCAGAGGCACCATCCTGTCTCCCGGGTACCCGGAGCCCTACGGCAACAGCCTGAACTGCGTCTGGAGGATCACCGTCACCGAGGGCTCAGGGATCCAGGTGGGTCGGTGCCGCCCGGGGTCTGAGGCAGGCAGGTGGGGCCCAGCCCTGTGCATGGGCCTCTGGCTCGCTTTTCCATTTTTGAGTTAGTTCTTTTAACCACATACAACAAAACCAGTTTCTCTTTTCTTACTATTTTTGCAAAGTGTCTCTAGTCATGTTTCTATATTAGAAATTAAAACAGTAGATCCTAGGACAAAATCTATCCAAAGAGCCCTTTGCAGGAACCATTGGGTCTGGGGCTTGCCTTCCCGGCGCCCGCACGTTGAGTTTCGCAGGGGCCTCCCCGCCCGGCTCCTTTCAACCGCGTCTCGCTGTTGTGCAGATCCAGGTCATCAGCTTCGCCACCGAGCAGAACTGGGACTCCCTGGAGATTTACGACGGCGGGGACACTGCCGCGCCGAGACTGGGCAGCTTCTCAGGTGAGAGGCGCCGCCCCCTCCTCCCCGCCTCCCTGTGAGCCAGGCGGTCAAACAGGAACAAAGCAAAGGGCCCAGGACGCCCAGGGAGCCCTTCCCTCCGCCGCTGGCCCGTGGGTGCAGTGTGCCCCCCCCCGTAGAGCGCAGCCGTGGGAGACAGAGACCCTCAGTCCGCAGGGAGCTGGACCCCTGCCGCTGGGAAGTGGCCGGTGTGCATGCGGTGGACACACAGGGAGGCCCCCAGGGGAGGGTCCCCAGAGAGGGAGGAGGCGAAGGCTGAGACCCCATCCCGGCCGGCAGGCCTTTGCCCACATGTTGTTGAGGGTCTGACGCAGGTGGGGACGGAGAACCGGGTGGCAGCTGCAGTGGGCGGACAGCTGGGGGACACTTGGGGACTGGCCCAGGGGAGTCTGCGAGGACAGCGTGCAGCAGGGGCCTGTCCCCGGGCAGGGTGGGCGTGAGGGGCAGGGGTGAGGGCAGCTGGGACGCCCGGCTGTGTCCGGTGTGAATTACAGACACTGGGGCGAACTCCTCCTCCTGTTCCCTGTAGCTACAGACATGAGTAAACATGTGCACATGTGTGTTTATGGTTGCATGTGCTTGTATGTGATAGATTTTCTGCCTTTGTCCTTGAGGGGTGTGAACAGTGACACCCCACTAGTGACAGGCCCACCTGGCACCCAGCTGTGGGGTCCTGAGTGTCGGTCTCAACACCGTTCTCTCGAATGGAACCAGTGCTTCTTGGAGATGTGCCGGCCCCGAGGCTCCGGTGGGGGAGACCCCGGGACGCCTGTGTGTGGCGCCGACGAGCTGGTCACGCTGACGTGAGCCCACAGCTGCACAGGGGCCACGGCTGTGTGGGGAGTTTTGGTGGCAGAGCGGACAACAGGTCTGGAAGGAGGCTGGGGAGAGGAAGTGGTCACACGGTGGCCAAAGTGACAAGGCAGCAGCTGGAGCAGCTGGACGGCTGAGCCGGGGGTGGCGTGCGGATGAGGGACAGGATGGTGTCAGTGTGACTCCCTCCTCAGCCTCATCGGGCCAGGAGGGGAGGGTGAGCTGAGGGTGCAGACGCCGGGCAGACAGAGCCCAGGGCGACTAGATCGCCGGTCACGGGGCGTGTGCTGAGAGACCTGCGTGTGTGCACACTGCCTCTCTCAAATCAGTAAAAACGGGTCATCTGCTAAGAAGTTTAAAAACCCATAAAAAGTTTTAAAAGGGACGTATTTTAAACCTACGCCTAGAAATGAAACTTACAAGCCTTGCACGTTTGTGAAAAGATTGTGTCGCACGCACGGACCCGCGAGGCAGAAGGCAGCTCCCTGGAGAGGGACCCGCGCCGTTTCCTGAGTCCAGAGAAGAGCCGGCAGGTCGGCGGCAGCCGGGGACTCGTGGAGACCGATGAGGACCCGCCTCCACGGCCCCTGCAGGGCGGCCGGGGTCTCCGAGGCGCCCTTAAGTACTTCATGGAGTTCAAGTGCGGCAGCTGCACCCCGAGCAGGGACGTGTCAGAAGGCAGCAGGCGCAGGTGCAGGGGTGGTCCCCGGGCCTGGCCAGCCCAGCTCCTTGTCCAGTGGACGAGAGGCCTCGTCTGCGGGGCGAAGCTTCTGCATGAGGAGGAATGGGAAAGCCAGTGTGGGTCGGAGGAGAAGGGCATCCGGGACCACGACGGTGGGGACACTGGAGCGGAAGAAGGACGTGGCGGGAAGAATCCAGAGGTGCCGGCCACGGTGAGATCACACAGGGGCTTTAGGCCGAGTCCCTGAGGCAGAGGTCGCATCCTGAGAAAACGAGGAATTTGAGGATGACCTCATCACATGTCCATTTATTGAAAGCGCTCCCTAGCTCCCAACAGAGGGAAGTGGATTAAGGCACCGGTGGACTCCGGGCCCCATTTGGCAGACTGGTTAGCGGGGCTGGCGGTGAAGAGGCGAGGCAGGGACGGCCAGACCCGGGAGCCAGGCTGGCTGGTCAGGGCCCGGTGGCCAGCCATGGGCAGCCTGGGGTCAAGGACAGGGTGGAAGCTTCTTGTGGAAGGACGTGCATGCGCGTCAGTGTCATGGACTGACCTGAGGACTCAGAGGGTCATGCGGGTGTGGCCGGGGTGCGTGGCGTCCAGCTGTGCACACGCCACGGTGCAGCCCAGTGACAAGAAGGAAGCTGGGTCCTCCCCGGAGTCTCCTGCGTCCTTGAAGCTCTCAGAGGTCACCAGAGCCACCAAGGAGAGAGTGGAGGACGACCGAAGGACTATCTTTTCAATAACGTCCGACTGTGCAGGAGGATTATCGACCGAGCTCCTTGTTTTATTTTAAACAGTGTCTCTTCCCTTACACACCAGCGTTACCTTCAGTGTAGCTTGTTCCAGTAAGTTGTGCAAACAGTTTGTGCTCTGCCGAGCAGGTGTTTCCTCGGCACCGGGAAGTGCACACTTAGTTAGAGAGGGCTTTGAGCACAGCAGAGCATTGACTGTGCACACACGCTTTTGGATAGAAGCGATTTACACTTGCTTCTCATTGTGTGGTACCATCAGCCACTCCCCCCAAATGTCTCCAGCTACCGGCTGATGAGCAGGTTTCTCTGCTTGGCCCCTTGGCCCCTTGCAGCTCAGGAGCTCCTCCGTGGCGCCGACCCTCCGCCCCCCTGCCGTCTCCTGAACGGCCAGTGGCCATCATACAGGCTGTTTTCCTCTTGCGTGTGTTCATTAAAATCCTTCTCCCGGCCCAGGGGGACGTCACTCACTGTGAGTCACATGGGGTAGAAAAGAGAAGGCTGTCAGGCACCTGCTCATGAATGATGCATCGGGCTGGGTTCAGGCTCCCCACCCCCCTGCCCCAGCCTTCCCGACACTGGTGCATTCAGATGGTGTCTCCTGTTTGCTCATGTCGAAAACAAAGAGGCTCACAAATGTATAGTTAAAAAGAAGCAAGGCGAGAGCCCCCGTGGGTGGTAAAAGGTAAGCATGGGGTGTAGAGAGGTGTCACATCTGCTCGGGTCGGGGGGCAGAGAGTGGGTGGTTTTCTGCGGCTCCCAGAAAAAGAGATGGGCTGTGAGTCCAAGGGTCAAAGCCGAGACTTGGGCCGGAGGCGTGGCCATCAGAGGAGCAATGGGGGTCGGACAGGTGAACACGTGTCCCGTGTATTTCACACCCGAGGGCGGGTGCATGTGTGATGCTGAGCCCCTTCTGGTCTCCTGCAGGGACCACGGTGCCCGCCCTGCTGAACAGCTCGTCCAACCAGCTCTACCTGCACTTCCAGTCGGACATCAGCGTGGCCGCCGCCGGCTTCCACCTGGAGTATAAAAGTAAGGCCCGCCGGGCACCTGCCCTCCAGGGCGGCACCGGGGAGTCTCTCACAGGAGAAGTAGCTCACGCCTTCTTGCACAGGGAAATACTGGTCTCAAAACCCGAGTCTCAGAGTTCAGTGAATTGGGCCGTCCAGAATCCTTCTCTGGGAAATGTACATTACAAAAGACAAATAGATGGGAAAGTGGGCATGAGTATCTGGAATAATTAGATGAAGTAGCAGCTTTCATTTAAGGTTATTTGTATTAGAAAGCATAAAAAGTAACCTTTAAAACGTAACCTTTTGTAACAGTACCAGCTTTCTTGTGATAGTAAATAGTCCTATTAGCATAAAAAAAACATAGAAAATTGTAATTTCCCAATAGATTATGGCTCTACGCCCTTTTCAGTTCTAGCCTCTCAGGCTGCTAGATGAGGACCAGCAGCAGTGGCCGCTGCGCCGCCTGCATCTGCATATTTTTCATTTTAATTGGAAGAAGGTCTCACGAAGGAGCCGCTAACCTTTTAATAATGGATGCGAGACTGAGTTAATAGTCTGATGAATGGATGGCAAAGGTCAGGCCCACCCGTCTTCCGCGGTGTTTGATTATGCAGGTAGACCCCGTGGAAGCAAAACCAGAATTCCCGACGAGAGGGAGGTTTATTCGGGGGCATGTTTTCCGAGCACTAAAAACGCTTGATGCTGGTATTCATCTCCTTTAATAAGCAGTTGCAAAGAGGCAAACACGTGGCTGAGCTGTAATAAGTGGTCCTGTGAACTGAGATAAACAGTTGGCTGGGGTGGAAGGTTTGCAGGGCTCTGAAAGGCCAGATTTCCAGCTGACGATAAATATTCTGCTCCAGGCACAAAGCACAGGGCTGTTTCCCCTCCCGAGTACATTTCCCTGCTTATTTGCGGGCATTTGTATGCAAGTTTGTGTCCGCTGGTTTGAATAGGGCTGCTCCGGTGACTGTGTAAGATGATACTGGGGGTGTTATTTATGTGGGACTTGTCTGGAAAAGTCCCGCTCCTGTGATACACTGCGTGCACACGGCAGCTAGGGAGTGATAAAGCGGATTTGCGGCAGTGTTAATGCATTCACTAATATTTGCAGAAGTGTTAGAACTGACGAATCCTCTTATTTTGGCCTCTCAAAGTTACCTTGTGTCTTCTGGCTCCTCACGCACTTCTTAGGGACGGAGGTTCTAGGAAAACAATCCATCTGCATTTAGTACCACGCACACTTGGCCACAGACGCTCAGGTCTGGCCACAGAATCGATCTCCTGCCTTCTCTGCTTTCCAGGGAAAGTCCTTCCTTGAAACAGAGAAGAGAAGGGACTTCTCACCGATGTGACTCATGTTCAAGATCCAAGGCCTTGTTCCATTTTGTTGTGCATTTACTTCTTTTTATCTGATCAGAGGTGACACTGTGTTTCCATCTGTCACTTCTTTGCATGGTCCTTTCAGGCGCTAACTCCACGCTGGCAAGTCCCTCTCCTCCGTGGGCTTTGAGAAGGCCATTTCTCGGTTCGAATTCTCCGTGCCAGGGTTTAAAACGTGGATTGTATAAAGTGTGTGTGGGATTAATCTCCCTAAGGTTGGCGCCACACAGTGTGGGTGCTGCCGAAGCAAGTTGCCCAGAGACGGCCCGATATTTGTGATCTGTTAGCGTAGCTCCACATCCACTGTTATGTGCGTCCAGCCCATCGGCAGGTCTCTAAACTCAGGTTTCTCCCTGACACTCTCTCCATGACAGCAGCAAAACCCACAGCAGGCATCCATGCTGTGCCAGGTCTGCACATGTCGTGGGCGGTAACTCACGTGTCCCCAGAGCAGTCCTGTGGGTGAGGCCTGCCCGGGTCTCAAAGGAACAGGGACGGGAGGACACGAGGTGCTTCCAGTGGCCCGGGTCTCAGCCTTTCTGTGGATGAGGGGCCCCTGTGCATGGACCCGAGACCCTGTGGCACCAGGATGGCACCGAGTGTCCTGGCCGCCGAGTGGGGGGGTGGCGGGTGCAGAGCCTGGGAGTGGGTCCGGCTGGTCTGGCCCCGGCCACAGAGCCGCTCCAGGATGGCCACACCAGCTCGCACCGGGGAGTCCCCGAGTTCTCAGGTGCAAGTTGGGCCAAAGAAGCGCTGCCAGGGTTCCTGGAACAAAAGACGTGCCTTCCAGTAGGAAGGGCTGGGCTGTAAAATGCTCACGAAAGCAACTCAATTCTCAGGAGGTCAGCCTGATGTGAGTGAGGCAGGTTTCGGTGAATTTACACAATCAGGCAGAAGCCGACAGGTCGGCACCTTGGAAGGCATGGCGCCTGCCTCTGCCGCTGAGCCCTGCTGGGAGCGAGGGCGGTTACGGCAGGAAGAGCGTGTGTCCCTCCGACTCCGGGCTCTTCATTCACGACCGTGACCAAGCAAACACATAACCAACCAGTGAGCAAATGCCTGGGAGCCTCCCATCAGACAGACATGCAGATACTCGTGATACTGGTTCATCCTGGAAAATGCAAAATCAGACCTAGAGGGGAGGAAATGGGAGGAAGCTGGGGAAAAGCCTTCCTGAATCAACAGGAAAAATGCTACGAGTCCTTGTGTAACCATGAACACATGCCTGTGTATTGATACATTGATATGGCCCGTTACACTGACAAGGGATACACTGTTTCGATGTCTGTGACATTTCACAAACGGATACATGTGTATCACCCCTGGTCTCAGTGGGACCTGCTGGAAGGGTCACTGGGGAGGCGGAGCACCTGGGTCCTGTGGGATTTGTCCTCTTTGTCTTTCGTGGGTTTTGCCTTTTCCTGGCAGCTTTGGTCTCATTGTCTGATCTTGCTTCCGTCTCTGTCCACTATGGAGTTGACGTACTGGATGAAACCATTTAAAATTTCAACGGTTTCCCTAGAGTTTAAAATGTCCATCCTCAACATGGTTCAGCTCACCCCCGAAGGGCACAGTGTCGCTCTGTGGTTGCGACAACAACCTCCTAAATGCATCTGCCCCTGATTCCTCCTCTTCTCCTTCTCCGCCACATCCTTCACCTTTTATCTTTACTTCCCACTAAGTTCACAAACTGCTCTATTTCTGCTGTGCTGAGTCAATATTCTTTAAAGTGACCAAAAGCAAGAAACAAATATTTTGTTTTATTTTAATCTTTTTATTTCTTTGGGTAAATTTAACTTTCTGTTTAAACTTTATTTTTTCTGTCTAAAGATCAGTCTTCAGCATTCTTTATTGTTCAGGTCTACTAACAACCAGCTCCCCCAGCTTCTCTTTCCTAAAGGTCATCACTTCACCCTCAGGTCTGGACGGTGTCTTTGCAGGGCATGGAAGTGGGGGTTGCAAGTTTCTCTGTTCTCAGCATATTAGAGATGCCATTTCACTGTCCCCTCATATGTTAGTTTACAGTGACAAGCCAGCTGTTTTTCTCTGCCCCTTTTCTCTGGCCTCCTTTCAGGTTCTTTGTAGCTCGTACTTTCATCGGGTGGATGAGGAGGGGTCTGGGTGGGTGCGCGTGCCCGCCGATGCACACTCACCGCACACTCACCTTCACGGGCCCCAGCAACCTCGGATCTGTGGCTTTGTAGGTTTCATCGCCATTATCCCAAATATTTCTTTTGCCCCCTCCTTCTCCTGCTTCTTCGGCCCCTGCCCCCCCCTCTGCGCGTCCGCCGGACCATTCGATGCTGGTTCACAATTCCGTGTGCTCAGCCTGTGTTACTCGCTCACTTCTCCTTGTGTTCCGGTTTGTGTAATTGTTGTTAACCTTTCTCCTGAGTTACCGGGTCTTTTCTCAGCCACATCAACTCTGCTAATGAGCTTGTTAAAAGATCCTCCGTCTCTGACGTTGTGGTTTTCCCCCTAGAATTTCCGTGGACTCTCTTTCAGGGAGGAGGGGGCATCCAGAGCAGCCCCCTTCTCCCTGAAACCACATTGGTGGACCCGCGTGCAAAGGCACATCACTTTCTTGGCAGCCTGTGGTCCCTTGAAAACGGTGATTCCGTTTTTAAAGTTATTCCTTTGGTGCCAGGATCTTCTTTTTTTATTTTTTTATTGATTATGCTGTTACAGTTGTTCTATTCCCCCCTTCATTCCCCTCCACCCTACCCCCCATCCCCACCATCACCCCCCCTTTAGTTTATGACCATGTGTCTCAAGCCCTTTAGATTCTATATTTCCCATACTATTCTTGCCCCCCCATCTATTTTCTATCTACTGTCTATGCTACTTATTTTCTGTACCTTCTCCCCCCTTCTCCTCCTCCCACTCCCCTGTTGCTAACCCTCCTTGAGATCTTCATTTCTATGTTTCCACTCCTGATCTAGCTGTCCTTTTAGTTTGCTTTTGTTTTAGGTGTGGTTGTTAATAACTGTGAGCTTTGTTGTCCTTTCACTGTTCATGTTTCTTTAACTTCTTTTTCTTAGATAAGTCCCTTTAACATTTCATATAATAAGGGCTTGGTGATGATGAACTCCTTGAATTTGATCTTATCTGAGAAGGACCTTATCTGTCCTTCCATTCTAAATGAAAGTTTTGCTGAATAGAGTAATCATGGTTGTAGGTCTTTGGATTTCATGACTTGGAATAACTCTTTCCAGCCCCTTCTTGCCTGTAAAGTCTCTTTTGAGAAATCTGCTGACAGTCTGATGGGGACTCCTTTGTAGGTGACTGTCCCCTTAGCTCTTGCTGCTTCTAGGATTCTCTCCTTCATTTTAATTTTGGCTAATGTAATTATGATGTGCTTTGGTGTGTTCCTTCTTGGGTCCAACTTCTTTGGGACTCTCTGAGCTTCCTGGATTTCCTGGAAGTCTATTTCCTTTGCCAGATTGGGGAAATTCTCCTTTATTATTTGTTCAAATAAGTTTTCCACTGGTGGCTGTGCCTTTCCCCCTTCTGGTACTCCTATAATTCGGATGTTGGAGCGTTTAAAGATGTCCTGGAGGTTCCTAAGACTCTCCTCATTTCTTTGAATTCTTGCTTCTTGACTCTTTTCTGTTTGGCCATTATTTGCTTTCTTCT